TTCTTGTGCCCTCAATATTTTAAACTACGAAATCGCACTCACGAATGTACTTTTTCTTAATATACATATTTTTTGTCTCGACGGATTTGGATTACTGGCTCTCAAAATACGAGATTGCCGCAATCTAGTAAATATTGTCCCAATAGTCTGCAGAGCGATAGAAAATGAAGGCTTCTTAACGTTAATTTCAATTTTGCTTTGTTTTGTTTTTCGTGTGTGCTTCGCCATTTCAAAGAAGTTGTATTTTTAAACTCTTATTTTTTTAAAAATTATCTTATTAATTAAATTTTGGATTTCATCATTTAAAATAGTACCGTAAACCGGGGCGAGTCTACCCATCCAGGGGCGAGTCTACCCATTTTAGTTTTATTTAATTTTCACTATTTTAAATTGCAAATAAAAAAATTTTTACCGACGGAGGACTTAGTTCAGACTCTAAGGATGATGGCGCTGTGGTAGTTTGATCCATTTTTATTTATTTGGTGTCTTTTTAACCGACCTGTTCAAACGTCTTTTGAGAGATTTGTATTGAAAATCGGCAAACTTTTAGTTGGTGCTCCGTAAGTACATTATTATTGTTACTATTTTCACTTTGGTTAAGTGATAAACTTATCTAAGATGAAGATTACATTAATTTTATATGAAAAAAAACAAAAAGAATGTAAGTTTTGCTGTTGTAAACAAAAAGCCAGAATTCGCGGGGCGAGTCTACCCATTCGTATTTAGTTTTAATAAAGCATAATAATATAATTTAGAACTTTGTTTATATTAAAATTAAGTCATTTTAAATGAATTTGAGTATATTATTTTAATTCTGCATTGATAAATTTATCATTAATAAGAAAATTTATAGGTTAAATATAAATGTAAATATAAAATATGTTTATTTTACCTATTTTTTCAATTTTTATATTACAAAATTAACTTTTTTTATTTAATGCAAGTTAAATAAATTATTATTTATTATTACAGATGGTTCGAAATTATATTCGCAAAACAAATGGATTTAAATGTTACAAAAAAATGCCACCTGAGATGGAAAAAGCTATCCAAAGGATAAAAGCCAAACAATAACAATATTAATTTTAATTTATTTTTATCAACAATAATCAGAAAAAAATGTTATTTTATAATGTTAATGATTATAAAAACAAAACTGTGATCAAAATGTGATAATCGATCAAATACTCAATTTGTGTTATTTTATGAATAAAAAAATGGAATATATAATAAAGTTATGAATTTTACTTCATAAATATCCTATATAGTAACTAAAATAACAATTTAATAGTAAAATTTGATTATTTACAATGTTAACATTCATTTTAGTAGAATGGGTAGACTCGCCCCATACGAGAGATTTGTCAGCAGTTCTATAAAAATATACAGTAACAGCGTAACTGTTAATATTTTCTAAAATCGATTTCACAGCTTTAAAGAGGGATAAATAGCGATTCCGAAACACCTATTAAAAGCCTTTTTTCTTTAATATTTACAAAAGTTTGACCACTTGAAAGTTGACAAACTGAAAAAATGGGTAGACTCGCCCCGGTTTACGGTATGGATTAAATTAGCGTAAAAATTTGTATGCATAGAAATTTTAAATTTTTTTAACTGTTAGTAAATTAGGTGACAAAAAACAAGAAATAATTATGAAAAGTAATTTTTTCGTAGAATTACCTTTGCATAAACTTCTATAATAGTGAGTGAAAAAATTTCGATTCTCTTTATTAGATCCAAACATATGATAAATATGGACAAAATGTTAAATTAGGATTAATGGATCCAAACTTTGGACTGCTCTCCTGCCTAAACTATCTGGAACATATTTTTCAAATTGTGGCAACCTCCCTTCCATATTTTGAGGGTTAAGAATCTAAATTCGTTGAAATAAAGATATGCTTACATTTTTAAGCATGATTTCGTAACTTACATATCGTTGTCACTAACATAGTTAAGGTTAGGCCCTCGAGCCATTAAGATTGTGTCCTAGTACATGAAACTAAGATTCTTAAATCAAAACTTATTGAAAGTGACATTTTTTTTTGACCTCTGTACAGCAAAAATAAAAAACAGTTCTTCATGATAGAACCGAAATTATATCTTGTCTATTTGCCCTCATTTTAATGTTTTTTGGTTTAATTCTTGTTTAGCACAAAGTTAACACATCCAAAGTAAAATTAATAGATGCTATAAACACATTTAATAGACATAAATCTTATAGACATACGTTTAATAGATATGTTCCAATAAGCCAATTAGGAATTAAAAATAATATACTTCATCTGTTTTTAATCCAGTCTCCTCTTTAATTACCAATATTTGAAAACAGTAATTGGAAATTATGAGGTAATTATTAATAATAACCGAGTTAAGTATTAAAAATAACTCCTGTAATTATAAATAACTGCCATTTTTTTGTCGTATGCCTGTTTATGCAGCGGGGATGCGATTGTTCCTGTTTTTCAGTGGCGCCATCTATGGCCAGAAATTCGACTTCTGCCACGCCATTCACACAACCATAACCCGTTTATAAGGCGGGTCGCATTTACACACATTCACACACAAAGGAGAAAGGACATAACACACAGAGAGAGAAAGAAACATTCATGCCTTGCCGGGATTCGAACCCAGGACCTTTCTCATTCAAGGACAGTTCCCTGCCCCCTACACAGGCCGGCGGTAATAACTACCATTAAACATAACTATTAAAAAAAATTTTAGTGGTTATTTTTAATGATAGTCGGCTCTTATTAGTAAACACCAAACATTATTGATGGAAAATCATATTGTAATAACCGATTGATATGATAACATTGAGCATTATTTATAACATTTACCTAAAGACGGGTTAAATATTATAATAATTTTTGTTTAATTACCTTAACCCGAAGCAGGGATGCCATCCCCTATGCGGAGGATCAAAATTGTGATGGCATATCTTCGGATCATCCTCAGGGATGTTTTCCAGACCGTCGCCAATAGCCCATTGTGCAGCTCTAGTACGACGTAAATGAACTACAACTACAACAACAACCTTAACAACTTGATATATTTATATAGGATGTTTCAAAATGACCGCTATTACCTTAACCCAAAGCAGGGGTACCATCCTCTCTGCAGAGGATCAAAATTGTGATGGCATGTCTTCGGATCATCCTCAGGGATGTTTTCCAGACCGTCGCCAATAGCCCATTGTGCAGCTCTAGTGCGATTTAAATGAACTGCAACTACAACAACAATCTTAACAGCTTGATATATTTATATAGGATGCTTCAAAATGACCGCTATTATTGTGTATTTATTTGAATACTTGGCAAAAAATTAAAACAAAAGATGATATGCATTGAAATTAGCAAATTAATACTTAATTGGTGTTTTATTTTTTCTTTCTTTCTTTTTTTCGTTTTTTTTTCTTTTCTTTTTTTATAAGGTTTCTATTAAAAGTAAATATCTTAAATAACGGTTCATCTTCCTGAATGTCATTGTGATCAAATTTTCAAAACATTTTAAAGTAAAATTGTTATTTAAAAAAAAAAAANAAAAAAAAAAAAAAAAAAAAAAAAAAAAAAAAAAAAAAAAAAAAAAACAGATTTTGAGGATGAAATTTTGTTGCTACAGAGGAAAAAGATTTCAGAAATGAAAAAGCTGGCAGGCAGCTACGCTTAAAAATACTTTCATTTTTATAAGGACTAGTTTTAAGCGTTTCTTTCTTTCTTTCTTTTTCTGAAATTATTACATATATTTCAGTATTTAAGGACAAAATTTCTAATGAATTTGTATTATAAATACATTATTGATTGATAGATTATAGGCATAAGATAAGATATTATCTTATGCCTATAATCTATCAATCAATAATGTATTTATAATTAAGATATTCAATCACTTAAAAATTTTTTCTTTTTTTTTTAAATTCATAAATTTGATAATATCTGTACAAAAATACCATTTTTGTTTTTTTTAGTAGAAATCTTGATTAAACAAAAATCCTTTATTCATACTTCTTTTCAAGATTTTTTTTTAAATCATTGAAACGAAACTTTGTCAATAAATTTATACTTTTGTTTTAAACATTTACTTTCCTCGGGGAAGAAATTTGTCATTAAAAGGACAGAGAGGAGAGAAAGAATATTAATCGGTATAATTTGCTAATTGTTTCTTTGCTTCTATTTGCATATGCATATACTCGTTTTCATCCATTGTGTCACAACCATTTTTTTAAAGTGTTCATTTTCCGACTTTCTCCTTAAACATGTTCAAATTGCATAAAAGAACAAAAGAAGGGAAAAAAATCGTCTGCAACAAAGAAAAGCAAAACTTTTTAGAAGAAGTTCAGTAATAAGAACATATTAAATAAAAAAGTTTTTTAATTTTTTTTTATAAATTTTCATTTCAGCAATTATACGATTCTCTTTTCTAAAGCCGACGGGGAAAATATAATATCTCTTTTTCCCTTTTCCCCTACTCCACTACATATACTTTCCAACTCAATACACATATCAGAATATTCCATGCATCCCCCCACCCACTTCTTAAAAGGAGAGAAAAAAATGAATGAAAATTTAAACATAGAACACTAATCTGAATAATTAGGTTTTTGTCAGCCAGTACCGCGTACAGCTGTAATCACACTATCCAATAAACAATGAGACGGCTGATTTGCATTGCTTATAAGCGCCAACAGAAGCTCTCACTCATTCTTTGTAATTTTTATATTTTTTCAGAATTTGGATTCACTTAAATTAAAAAAAAAATGCCCAGGGTATTTTTTTTTATTTCATTTGTTACGAAGTCGAGTAGAAACACATTTATACGCCTTATTAGAACATTCTTGTCCTTTCTTCGCATAATTTTGCAAGTCTCGGAAATTATCTTTTGCGTATTGCCAGGTAATTGTTAAACATGTGACATTCTGGGATCTGGCAATATGTGTAGGGATTCGAATTCTCATTCCGATTTTCAAGTTTTTGCTCCTCCCACTTGGATTAGAACTTTAATTTAAGCGCACGGGGTCGCAACAGTCCGAAAATTCTCCATTTTATACATAAAAGGAAATGATGAGTTTACTTTCATTTAACAGCAATGGTTTTTCAAACAAAGTTGGCAATATTAAAATGTCTTGTCGACTAAAGGTTACAATGTCTACTGTGAAACGAATAAAATAATTTGAAAAGTGAGTAATTATTATTTTTTCAAATTTAAGTTGAAATGTCTTTTATGTAGAATATATCTTATGTATTTTGTGAACAGGAATTAATTAAGGCAATTTTAGTATTAGTTCAAATGTTGCGTAATTTGCTTTAAGAATTAGTTATAATTGAAAACTATTATTATTTTTCTTGTATTCCTTTTTTATAGTTTAACTTTTTTTTAAGAAAAAATTCAAAAGTGATGTAATTAAAACTTATAAATACTAATTCCAAATCTAACAAAGTAGTCTTTTTCGTCTGCCTTAATATTTTTTAGCTCATTTGAAAAATGTTATTTAAAATGTTAAAGGTTGTTTTAAATTTACTTATACCTTTATTTAAGTGTATACTTCTTTAATTAATTTGTCTGAATTGAAATAATGCAATTAGATAATAGAAGGAAATTTTTTACGATGATGATTATTAGGATCTTAAAATGCTTTTTTAGGGTCCTCTGACTACTAAGAGGTTGTCGTACATTAACATTTTAACTAAGATGATTTTGATAAGTTTACACAATTTGATTTATCGGGATAAACGACAGGGAAGAAATTATGAAGAAATTTTTTATGATTATTTGTTTTAGAGTTACCGTATTTAAATTTTAATTAAAATGATTACGATTTCACACAATTTGATTTTTCGGGATATATGGCAACATCGTAAAGAAAACTTTTTAGGATCCTTGGTCTTCGTGTTCTTAACCTTTATTAAAATTTCAATTATCATGATTATTCTAAACTAATACAATTCGACTTATCAGGATAAACTGCAACCTCTAAAACAGGAGAATTTTTAGCAGAATAATCTATATAAATGAAGTGGAATATTTAGATGTATGTGCGTGTGTCTATGTACCTTATATAAATTCGCAATTCTAAATCAATTCATAAATTTCGTGTATAAACGTTCGTCACGAATAAAATAAACGTAAATAATTCCGTGACGTATGATTATGACGTCACTGAATTCATATTTTGAAGGGTATATGAAACTATGCGTTTCTAGCATTGATACTTCGCTTTTAAATCTCTATAAATTTAAATGTTGGAAACTAAACAAAAAGTCTCTAAATAAAATTGAAGTTATCTATTAAACTTTAGAAAAATTCTGGTAATTTTTTAATATCATAAATTAAATTATATTATTACATGAGTGCCAATAAATTAGAAACCTTAATTTAATTATTTGTATTTTTCTTATTTATTTATTTACTTATTTATTTATTTATTTATTTATCATTATTATTTTTTTGGAGGGGAATTCCTTTTACACGGATAACGATCCATATTTATGAGGGCATTGATTCTACAAATTTCAGGAAAGCATTTATGTCCAATACATTGGCTACACTGACTTTAAATTAGATGGAAGAGGAGATTGCTGTTGGATGTGAGTTTCCAGCATGTCCTAAATATTTTTATTAGGTTACGTTATGGATTTTGTGGTGGCTAATGAAAGTGCTAGAAGTCAGAATGTTAATTGAACCAATTTGTACGTTTTTGGCTCAATGTACCATTATCGTCTATGAAGTATTCGTAACTTTCGGAGCAAAAATGTAACATTCTAGGATGAATTTAATTTGCTTATATGCCCAGGTGTTCGATGACTTTTTGTTTATCCTTGAGAAAAATCGAGGCTCCACTCCATACCAGCAGAACAGGTTTCATATCATGATACCCCCAAAGAATATATAAGAATACAAAGAATACACTTATATATTCTTTGATACACCAACTCATCTTGCTCAGTTAGAAAAAGGCATGAGAAAATCTCTCAAGTTTCTAATTCATTGGCATATTTAACCTTTTTTTTTGTTGCTCAGTGGGATTTCTAACTTATATTGTGGTAAATTCAACAGTATGAAACCTTAACGAAATATTAGTTCGCCGAAAATGATAACTAAAATATTCGTGTCTTTACTAATTTTTTTTCGAAAAATTACAATTAAGTTATTTGGGTGGTAAGAAAAAAAAATGTGTTGAGAAGCTAAATTATTAGAGAAAAAGTTCTTATTCGTACATGTGAACCGTAAAAATGTGCCATACTGTTCTTGATCTCAATGATACTTCATTAATTTTGGTAGGCGGTATAGCTCTTATTAGGTTAATTGGTGTTTTTTTAACATGTCCTAATTGTTCGAATGCACCAAAGTACTTGCAGGTTTTGATAGGAAATAAGGTTTTCTCGGCCAGGAAAGACAGGAATAGGTACCAGAAGAAATTGTTGATTATGATAATTTTTGACTGTGAAGATTGACTTTAAATAACTGCATTATGCCAAATGATACGGAACATAATTAATCTTTATTTTGATGTGATGAACTTTTAAAAACTTCTTATGCTCAATTTAATTAACGAAAAACAAAAAAAACAGGAAGGAAAACACATAATAAAAAAAATAGCAAACATTAGAATTGTTTTCACTTAATTAATTGTGTCCGTACTTGTCTTCCAGTTCTGTGCAGGATTTCGTAGAGTTGATTTATGACAATTTATTGATTATTTACCTTTTTTTCCAGCCTGTAAAAAAAAGGGTATTCAACTAGTAATTAGATACTTTATAAACAAATAATCTTTATTTTTTTCTTTATTTTTTTTCCTCTCCCGTTATCTTTTTATTTATAAAAATATCGATTTTTATATCGACTATCCATAGCTGAAAAGAAAGAACGAAAAAAAGATTAATGAAAGGCAACTACGGGGATAGGTGATCGGAGATTCCTAAAACAGCGGTCCCCAAAGGGTGTTCAGCGGGATGCCACGGTTCCATGGAAAAATTGCAGGGGCTCCGAAAAATAGGGTTTGATTAAGCAGCAGTAATAATATTTATATCCAATCCAGAATGCATTACTTATTTTGATTGTTTTTTTGAGAACTTATTTATGTGAAATGCCAATAAAAAAGTAACAAAATTTAAAAATAGTAATATATTTTCTTCAATAACGATATATTGAATAAATCATGAAGAAGATATGCTATTATAAAAAAAAATTCAATTAATACTTCTCATCGAGCTTTTCAATTCAAAATAAAATAACTAAATTCAAGAATAGAGACACTTTTCTGTGATAACTATTATCAACGCTTATAACAGTTTTTCCTTTAAAACCATAATTCAGCTTATTTTATTCATTTTCGGCTTGTGCATACATCAAGAACAAATTCAGAATACTAAATACTTCATTCTTCATAATAAATATTGTCAAACAATTAATAATATTATTTTTGGTTAGTATATTCACAGTTGCTAATGTGCCGTGGTTCGGTAAAAAAAGTTTGAATCGTTGTCCAATAGATTCTGAAATTTTTTTACTTCCGCTTTAAAAGGGTTCCATAGTATGTTATGCTCGGTGATGAATCTTACGATTCATACTTAATTGGGTTGTTTTTAGGTAAACAATTCGAATAAGTAAATATTCTTTTATAATTCGTGGATAAGTTCAAAATTTGCCAATCAATATAATCATAAACTGATTATAACTGACTGATTAAAGGAACTAATTATAATCGAACGACAAAAAAAGTAGAAAGGAAAACAAGAAACTAAACTGTGAATGGTTTAACCTGATGATCGCTTTCATCTTCTAACTAGTAATCGAACTTAAGGAAAGGATGTAAAAGTCTTTTTATTGTTAGTGAAAATGAATTTCAACCAATTTAAATTCAAGACAGGAAAATTTGGACTTAAAATAATAGGGATTGGGAATTATACATTATTTTGGGGAAAAATTAGTTAAAATTTCTATAATTGAAAATATCTTTACAATATAATAAAAAAACATTTACAAAAATGTATATGTTTAATAAATATATTAGTTGTATATTGTTTAAAATTTATTTTTCCTTCAAAAAAAGAAGAAGAAAAAAGCTCAAATAACTGTAAAGATGTTGCAACTTTTGTTTTCAGCCACTTGTTTGTTGAATTGTTGGATAAAATTGTTTTTGAGAAACGAATTTTTATTACAATAAATTTTGTACTCTATATATGGTTGTACAACGAAACAAATTTATTTCTTTAAATTCATTCTTATTGTGAACTTACGAATTTATTGAGCTGGTCTTGTAAAGTTCTGAATGGAATCAGTCAATAAGCATTAGAAGTACACTGTTCGCTTGCAACATAGCTGTCAATTCTACTGGATTTACCAGCAGACTACTGGATTTTGCCAGTTTTTCCAAGTCTACTAGTTTAATGAAAATTCTTCTGGATTTTTTACATTTTAATATATGTCCTAAAATTAAATAAGTTTCCTAAAACAGTTCCTATTGAAATAGAATTTTTACACAATTTATTGCTTGCTTGAGTGTTTAAATTAGTATTACTAATACATAATGGGCCAAGCCTCATTCATAGCAATCATTTTATAGCTTTTCTTTTTAACCTGAAATTTTCAGTTTATTTTTATTCAGAATTCCCTTTTTAAATTAATTGAAAAATCTTTTGCCCATCAAAATAATAAATTAATTTTCTATTACTATTCAAAGTAATGAGTTAACATAATAAAAAACATTTCAAATTAAAGTTCATTTAGTGTCGATCATAAGTGGGAAATATTGTAGACCATTTATAGTTATTAGTGCAGTAACGCTTTGTATTTTGATGACAATAAAAATTCCTAAAATTCCCTATATGTAAAATATTTAGCATATTATGTGAAACAGAAATTTATATTATTTCGTAAAGTCTACTGAATTTTTCTGAAGTATGTTGGCAGGTATGCTATTATAGAAACTTCCTATTTTACTGAACAAATTTTGCATACTAACAATATGATATATATATTTTTTTAAATATTAATTTTCAAAGCAATTGTTTCGTATGAACTTCAAAAATTTTTTTTTAAACACCCAGCCCCTCCGTACGAAGCTTAACAACACAATTGAAATGCTTGAGTCAAACGCACGATTGTTTGGAGTAAATATGCTCAGTTGTATTGTTTTGTTTTTCATTGTATGAACATTTCGTTGCAAGAGTGTTACCATTTTCTAGCGCTAAAACAACAAACAACATTTTTGAATACTAGTTTTGAAAAGCTGAATTTTTTAAAAGTTAATGAGCTTGTAAAATGATTTCATGCGTTCTACTTACATATTTGCATTCTTTAACTGACAATTTTAGTTAAGTAAAATATTTTTTTTGTCAAAAATAAATTTTATAGTTAAAAATTTCAAAAATTTTAACATCTGTTCTTACTTTTGATTGCTGATAATAAATAAAAAAAATCCAAATTCAGTCTGTTATTTCAAAAAACACACTCAAACAAAAAATTTCCTTTGCTATAATATTTATTGTTCTATGAGCATCAAAAAATAGCTTTATCAAAATAAAATTATTAATAGTTTTTTATTTTCTTTGCTCCATCTGTTTTTCAATTCGACCATTGCACGTTTTGTGTAGGTTAATTATGCAATAAGGTTAATCAACACAAATGAATTCTCAATCTGTTGAATTTTGATTTTTTAGAACTTTTTTGGAGCAAATATGTGCAAAGAGACTTAGCACATACTTGCTCCAAAAAAAAGTTCTTATAATATTGAGAGAGACTCTCTATATTGTGTGTGTGTATTTGTATAACTGAAGAACTTGGAACAATATTGTGATAAACCATACTTTTTCTAAAGGTAATATTTTTACACCAAGCTCATCTTAAATATTGTTTTCAGATAAGAATTTTACAAGTTTCCGAAATTAGCACTAGATTACAACACAATACATTTAATCATCTCATTTCTTACTTACTTAAAATTAATGATGTTTTGCAGCAAAAACTCCTCCCTCAACAATAAAAATGAAAAAAACGTAAAAATATTGCTTAAATTATATTCCTAAACGCCCTTCATTTATTGTCAGCCAGGCATTATTTAACATTAGATTGCCTATGGAAGTCATTTTGACTGCTTTTAATTTCAATTGGAAAAACAATGATGTATATAATGACGCAATTTCTTAGAATTTTGCGAGTTTTTGTACAACATATAATTTTTTTTATTGTTAATATTTACTAATAACTTGTTATATGACTGTAAATAATATAAAAAAATGTTAAAAATTAATTTTAAACAAATTTATTTATGCCTTCACAATTTTGACTGCTTTTGGGCAATATAGGTATATTATACTAATTTTCCGTTTTTCTAGTGTTAATACAAATAGCATGTTTCTTTCACTTAGTTTACTTAGTTTATTTCACTTAGTAGTCAAGTTAGCTTTCAATGAGTCTATGTTCGTTCTAAGTTTTTTATTTGTAAGCTCAGTAATACAAGGTTTTTCGTAACGGCCACTCTTACTGCGTATCTTTAGAATCCTTTTCAAACAGAAAAATGAAATGTATAAACATTTGGTGTCACATATAATTATCAAGCGATGAAAAAACAAAAACAAAATTGCAATCGAACTCTTAACTAATCACTACTGAAAAAGGCTTAAAAGGAATTACCGAAATTTATTTGTTTGACGGCGAAAACAACGAAGAGTTCTCAGCAGATTATTGGAAATACCCACACTGAATTTCATCAGGAAATCAAACTGATTTTGATATTTTTAGTCCTGCTTTCTTCAGTTTATTCGTAACTGTTTTTCATCATCTTTGCTTAAATATTAACTCGCGACCCTTCTATGTGTAACTGCCGTATTTGAACTTGCTTCTTTGTGAAAGATTTCCAGACTCCATTAACTCTCTGCTCGGATATTCATGGCAAATATATTGAAGCAAATATAAAGTAGCTGTGAATGATGGTACATGTAGTTAGGCAACGAAATCCATTTTGTTCCCAAGTCTGTTATTGATAGAGTCCAACTATCTAACGTAATTAGAAAGTTACGGCAAGAAGCTTCAAAGCTGTTTAAAAGAGAAAGATTTCGGAATCGTTTGTCACACTAGGCGCAGTTTATCTTTAGCTTCTCTTTTTTAGTCCGTGTTAAAATATGGAAACAACACCTCCTACAAGAAAGAATGCCTTCGCGTGGGTTACCATAAACGAAAAATCCGATCTTTGGTATTCCAAACGTTGTGACATTTCTTTACCTACCCCACTGCGCAGTTTATGTTCGCTCCTTCGGACTGCTAAAGTGATCCGTACGAAGACCTTCTCTCTTCTAGCAAGTGTTGAGCGAGCTGAAATTCGTTTTCTGATTTTACTAGCCAAAGGATACGCCAAACTTCGCCAAAGTTACGTAAGTTAGTGATTAACTTATTTACCTTTTTAAATATAAAAAATGTAGCTTACATTTGCAAAATTTTATTCAAGAAATGACTTTTTAGCGAGATATCCATCTGACGTTCTATCAAAGCAAATAATTGTTTATTTGACATATGATGCATAAATAACTTTATAAAAGTACCAAGTATAGCTATCATAATTTTTAAAAGCTAATTATTTCTCAAAATTTACTCACATTTAACGTTTTTCTTTTTAATAATAAGTACTTTGAATACTTAAGATTAATTTTTAAAGAAAGGAAGAAGAAAAAGAATACATACTAACAATTTTGAAATTCAGCTGAATAAAGATGCCTTGTTGATCTCACCATGTGAAATCTACAGGGAAATTTTTGCTTTGTAAACCTTGGTTCCAAGTCAGTCACAGCCTGTACCAAAAAGCCTGAATGTTAAAGGCTATATTTTACTAAATTTGATACTCAGGCTTTCGTTTCTTATGGCTCATGAGAGCTTGTGAAGTGAATGTTTTCCATACAATATTATGCAGTATAACCATAAAAGTATTTTCATGTTATTTTTAGTGAGAAGATTCTCTTCGCCCTTGAGATTATGGATAGATATTTGTTTCCTCTTTTGGTCAGCAAAGACAAGCAGTGGTAAATATTATTTTATAACACTTTTATTATTATTATTATTATTATTATTATTAAAAATATTCTTACACTTTCAAATTAAATGCCACCGATATTAAAACTGTTGTTAATTCTTGCAGAAGAGTACTTAAAAAAAAAAAAAAANAAAAAAAAAAAAAAAAAAAAAAAAAAAAAAAAAAAAAAAAAAAAAGCTAAATCGATGCTCGTGCCTGGGCAAAAATTTTTTCCCCTTAAAACCTGTACCCTTTCTTTAGATCTGTTCAGCAAATGTAATGTTTCTCGCTGAAACTAATGTATTTTTAATATGAAAATATGTTTGGCTACGTATATTAATATTTTCAACGTATTCTCTTTTAATTCTCTATTTTTTTCTCAACGTATTTTCTATTCTCTCAACGTATTCTCATTTTTTCTCTACTTTTTTGTAGGTATCATTATTTAACAGTGATAAAACTAATATTTTTAGTTAAAATTGAAGATAGTAACCGGGTGTTTGATCCTGATGTTGCATTAGTAATGAGCAACTTAGAATCCGAAAGAAAATTAAATAAATGAACTGAAAAACGATATCAGATTTTATTATAGCATTAGAAATTGTAGAAAAAGAAAAAAAATTATTAAGAGCTTGTACAGACAGTAAACTAATAAAACTCTCCCTGCAATAAAATTATATCGATAAAATGTAGTTTCTTTTACCACTTTTGTTGTTAAATTTTGCACTAAACAATCCTCATTGCTCATGCAAGTTTCATAAAATAATAATAATGATAAATAAATAAATAAAGGCTTAGATACATTGAGAAGTTTTCTAACAGCTGCAAGGAGTTGAAAAAAAATATAAACCTCTTTTTGTCTAACAAAATTAGACTTTTGATTCGGAAAAATTAATAACCAAAAAAAAAAAAAGTTTTTTTTTCATAGAGAGCTTTGATAGTTCCTTTTAAATGGTACCTAAAAGTAATATTCTTTATACGTAAAAACGCTTATAACTTTGAAACTATTCGTTCTATTGACTCGTGTACGTAGCCCTTCGAGCCTACGTAAAAAGATTACATAAGAAGCAATCTCCCCCTTTTGCTTCTCTTGTTTCGATAGCAATTTAAGATTCGTAAATAGGTACAAGTACAAAATTGTACTTTTTGCGCATAAAATCTATATAACGTCTTAACCATTTATCCGATCGTTTCTAAATTTGATCTCATTCAATTGAGTGTCCATAATTACATTGGAGACAATGATTCACTTGCCTGTTAAGAAGAAATTTAATCTCTGCCTCAAAAATGCCTTATATATAAATTTTTCCGAGGAAACTTTTTTTCTTATTATTATTTCTTGCCTACTCCGACATAAAACCTGCTGTGAGATATCAACTTGGTGTTACTAGGTTAAAAAATAAAATAAATAAATAAAAACTTTTGTAAATCTTGACTGAATAGTTCGAATTTTTCCTTTTTACCATTAATCTAAGATATTCTTTTCTAGAAAACTTAAAAGTTGAAACATGTCCTGGATCGATCGCATCACTTCCGTGTCCAATTCTGACGCCAACTGAGGATGACGACAGATCTTTGGCAGCTTTTTGGTACAAGGATGATCACGTGGCACCTTTTTATATGGTGGATGGGAGATCCAGTGCTTCCATTGAGCAAGGGATTCACAGACGGCTTTCTTCTTTGGGCAATCGATCCACTTTTGATGTGACAACCACACCAGCTGTCCTTCTTGTGAGCGTCGAAAATAAAGAGGATGCTGGGACTTATGTGTGCAGAGTGGATTTTTACAAATCCAATCCGAAACCATCCGTTGTCGAATTAATTGTTCTGCGTAAGATACATACTTGTTATTGATTTACATCTGAGTAATGCCGAAAAATTATACATTGATCTTTCTGATCAGTGTAATACCCCTTTTCTACGAGCGGCAGATAAACTAGATTGCTAGTAAGCTAGATCAGGGGTTTCCAACTTACATGAGGCCGGGGGCCACAATTAAAAACATAAATCAGATGGCGGACCGCAGCGTTATAAAAATTTTATGTGGGGGCTCTTTTATATTTGAAGGAACATTAAATACGTATTACTGTCAGATTTTTACCAAGTTGTACAAAACAAAAGCATTGAATTACAAATTAAAATAAGAAGTAGATTTTTAAAAATATTTAATTGCATGTTAAAAATTCGGACAACAATAACTTTAATGTGCACCTATGTATTAAACAATTAATGTGCAACAGATATCTAATTGTTAAGATATAAAAGTTTAAAAAGGTTGGTATTAAAACTTTCATAGTAGCACACAAAATGTTCAATGACAAAATTGAGGTTTGTCTGCTGCAACCATCAGAGAATAGATATTTACAATTAAAATTTACAAATTCGTGTGTGTAAATATTTTCGTCCAAAATGAGTGGTTCCAAAAAGTTAAATCGGAGAATTTCTTCGAGAAAATTTCTGGTACACACATGCTAAATTATATTCACAAAATGTAAAAAAAATTAAATAAAAAAGAGCAACATATACAATTATTTTTGTATTTGAATAAATATCTTCTTGGATGCAAAACCTGAAAATATATTTTTTTGCATCTATGGTATGTTAAACTTCACAGAAACGAAGAAATTAGGTTTTAATTAGCGAGAAAAGTATTTTAAACCCATACAGATTTTTTACGAAAATTGTCCGCAAAAAAATGACGACTAATATATTTTAGTTCGCGGGCCGCCAGTTGAAAACCACTAATCTAGATCATACCAAATCCGATCATCAAAAGAGCGTTTCCATTTATGTACTCTCGAACTGGATTTTACTAGAAATTGCATCTGGTACCAAGATTATTTAGGGTCAATTATGCTGAGGAAAATTAGCTATAGAGCTATATTAGCTATATTACAAGTGATCAAAAGGATTCGAAACCTAAAGTAAAACTCCATTTTGCGTATTTGATAGTCATTTCATTTTGATTTGTTTTGTTGTTATACTAAATTTTCTCTCCATTGCTCATTATTCAACATTTTAATTCGAGATATCATAATTTTCTTTGCCTTAATGACAAAAAATGTAATAGCAGAACAGAGAATTTGATTTATTTCATTAAGCGAAACATAATCACTTACTCAGTAGTAAAATTCCTTAACTTCAGTTGAATAGCAATCGGTGTTTTGTTAACTGAATAAAATGTCACATCGTTATTAATTTTTTGATAAAACTTTTCATTTCTTTTTGCCTTCAACGAATCATTCTGGTGTATTTTCCACAAATTAATTAAAAGTTCAGTTACCCTTTATGACTAAGAAGCTTTCTTTTGCTTATCATCCGCTTTTCGTTTGCGAATCTCGGTTTGTGCGGGCTAATCTAGTTTTTCAAACTGCATCAACTACAATCCAGATCACCCAGACTTAATTCATCACATGACCTACTCAAATCCAGAATACACTTTAACCCGGGATTTACTTGGGCTTGTAGAAACACGGTTTAAGAATTTGGGCCATTCTCATTGAATGCAATTCGCATATGTGATCGAACGCGCACATGCGAATTTGAATGTAGTTAGATGGGTTTCATCTGAATTATTCTACACACCAAAATTTTAAACTGCCCGCTTGTTGCAACAAGCGGGCAGTTTAAAATTTTGGTGAAACTTATAAATAAATTAAACTTGCTTTCAATTCTTTTCATAATTATTTTAATGCAAAATAAGTGAAAATAAAGTACATTACAATATACTTTAAAATTTTATTGAGAAATGTGGGGAGACAAAAAAATCTTGATAAAATTAAAACAATATCACGTAGTTCTTTTTTTTTACCCCCACTGGATTTTGGATCTGGAGATTTTGTAAATAGTTTCACGGAATCTCAATGTATTCCAATGCTGATCTTCGCAATTACACTTTGCTTTACGAATGTCATATTTTTAGACTTTAAACGCATAAATCTCATTTAAAAAAAAAGTCAAGTAACCCTCCAAAGTAAAATAATTCCTTACTATTTACTTATTAAAGTAATTTTTGGTGTAAGTAAGCTTAAATTTAAATAAAAATAAAAATTGGATATCACGGACGTAACATCCAGTTTTAAATTTAAGAAAAAAAATTTAAACTAACGTTTCTAAAATTTCGAGAAAATGTAAATTACATCAAAAGTTATTTTAATAAATATTATTGGAACTGCTTTTTATTTTTTTCTGTCTGAGTTATGTGTTATTAAAGTCTGCAAATATGACATTTGTAAGTAAGGGAATTGTCTTAAAGTTGCTATCCAACAGGTTCACAATAGTTTATCATTCTATAAATTTTTCTTCCTCTAATTTATTCAGATTTTTCTCTTTTTAAATCGTCATCTGATAAAATAACCGCAGTTTACAAAAATGCATTCTATTATGAGTACAAAATCTTGATTTTTCAAAAACAAAGAATATATATATTTATAAAATATTAAAAAATAAATAAAATTAGGATCTTAGAAAAAATGAAATGAATTAGGAGGGAAAAAATGAAAATTAAGTGGAGTTCCAGGCAGGACCTCATTATCGCCTAGGCCCCACAATTTCTGAGTGACTTTAAAAATTAGTAAAAGGTCTAATGAAAGGTGGCCTAGCTTGTGTTGGTCTAAGTATTAACTAAAAAACAGTGACTTTTGGCAAAAATTACTGATTTCAAATGTTTGTGGCCACCAAACTATTTTTATTTTGATATAACATTGTTTGGTTGTTTTATATTTTGCTTTAAATTATAGATACATAAACTTTATCTTAGAAAAATAATCATCAATTGTCTGCCTTCGAAATTTCTTAGGATGTTTCTCTTTAATCATGCAGTTCAATACATTATTTTTCATTGTTAGGACTACTTTTCAATAATTTAATTTCACAATATCTTGTAAGGGGCCCGGAAAATTTGGTGGACCTTGGGCCTGAATTTGTCTTGATCGGTCCCTGGTTCCAGGCTCAGGTCCCAAAAAGTACCGACAAGTTTTTCCCAGACAACAATTTTCTCAAATTAGATCTTTAATTATTTTGAAAAAGCTAGAGAAATTACGTTTTTTTGATCAAAATAAACTTGATCATTTATTTATTATTCCGATTAAATGGAATTCCGGATCGGCGTCCCGTTTCCCAAAAGTTCCGACGCGTTCTTCTCCGACTAACCCTAATAACATTTCCTTTGAACAGATCCTTTAATAATTGTTTTGCAAAAACTGGAAAAATTTCATTTCTTGATAAAAAAGCAAGTTCAAATTGATTATATAAAACAATTTCAATACGATCAAGCAATTTAACGAAATATAAAAATAGGATTTAGAATCTAAAACCGAAAATAATCCGTTGGTGAAATAGCTTCTTCTGAATTGAAAATATACTAAAAAGACTGGCGTTAAAACGTGTGATATTAAGTTTAAATAAAGATCTAATTTCTATCTAAAAGTACGCTGTAGATTTTCGAAAAAACGTATCTTATTTGATTTAGATGATAATTTATTTATTTATTTTTTTGGTTATGTAAAGAAACAGAAAACATAACTTAATTGCCTACCTTTAATATAAATAAACTTCCGAAATTATTTATGACCAATTCAAAGATTTAATAATGTATTTATTATTTATAAAAAATTGCAATTAATGTGTATTCTTAGCAAGTAAATTTTCAAATTAATTTTTTTATAAATCTAAAATTTATTTTGAGCTCATTTAGGTTGTAGGTTACAGTCTGTATACTTTCGATGTATTCTATTTTAACACCAGCGGTGATCAGCTGAAAGATTATGGATTTATGGCTATCAAGTTTATAATTTTGCAATTTTGAATCCTCCCCCCCCCCAANTCCTCCCCCCCCCCCCCCCCCAAAAAAAAAGATAAGGGAACTCTGGTCCAAGAGCAATCTGATAAACTTTTTGATGGAACTAACTCACTTTTGCAGACGCAGAGAGGATATATACGAAAACCTCCCGCAGTTAGCCCAATGACAAGACAGGGGAGATTCTAATCTTTGCTCAATCTACAAATGGAGAAGCAATGTGGAGGGGGCAAGCCGCGAGTATCACCCGGATTAGAATGGGGGTCACTTTATCTAGAGGCAAGCATCTATCTCCCGAACCATCCAGTTTCTTATTTAGGAATATTTCATTAAACCTGGTGAGCGAGTTACTGAGTCCTTAGATGAAATCTTTTCACTTATCTAATCAACATTATATTCAGATTATCGTTAGTTTGGAGTTGATATCTTTATTATATATTTCATGATTTATCTATTTATTGTTTAGGAATCCATATTTTTATGCATTTATTTATTTATTTTGTTGAAATATTGACTTAATTGTTTTTAAATTTTTTTTTAAATCGTTTGACAGCCCCTACACCAAAGTTAATTATTTATGAAGGTGGCTCAATGCTTACCGGTATAGCTGGACCTTACAATGAAGGTTCTGATTTGGAGCTCTCTTGTGAACTGACTGGAGGTAATTATGGTTACATTATCTCCNTATATATATAATAAATAAATAAATACAAGAAAACACTAAGAAAGTTAAGAAAAACAATAAGTTTCATTTATTGCGCTTAAGCTGCAAATAAACAGCACTCATTAGATAAGTTCAAAATGAAGAATAAAACATAGAAAAATTATAGACATATGAAAAAAAGGGGGATGGGAAATAATAAGTAAAAAAATAACAAACATTTCATTAAAAAAAAATAAAAAAATATTCTCTACCTATAGCAACCCTTCGCATGCTATAGGTAGAGATTTCTGCCAGAGAATGGCATACATTTAATAATTACTTGTTTCGAGGGGTCATTTGCGTGTGGATAGTCATAGGGGATAGAAGTAAGTTTTGATTTTTTAACAGATTAAAATTTTTTTAAGTTAGGAAATTATATGCAACTCAAAACTGCATTAAACAGAGTTCTTAAAGAAAGCGTGGTGGAAATTTCAAAAAGAAAATATTGTTGATAATTAAACACGAAAAATATTATGAAAGGGGAAAATATGGGCTAGATATATAATCCACAGCTGAGCAGAGGTGGAGAGGAAAAGGGTAGTGTCAGGACATGGAAGAGTGGCGATCCGAATAATGTTATTCATATTACAAATAACAACATAAACTGCTTTTTATTTTAATATTTTTTGCTTATTTTCACAGTTGAGTCGGGACCTATGCAAGTATTATGGATGATAAAAGGGATGGTTATTGACTCTACGTTTAAAGTGCTTCCTAATGGAAAACGGAGGAATGATTACTTAATTCGAAGTTTAGAAAGAGTTTTATGGATGGTGAATATTACATGCCTAGCAGCCAAGCATTTGAACTCAACATCGAATCCCTTCCTCACAACATCTATACAGCTTGATTTATATTGTATGTTAGTGTCTTATGTTCTTATAAATAATTTTAACAATCTGAATCATTTTATTTGGTATTTTACCATATTTTCTTTAAGTGCCAGTCTTTAAAATAGTTAGTATACTCTACGTTTGAGTTCTAAAATTTTCCCAAATGGTTTTAAAATATCGATTTTTTTTTTAACGAAATAACGTAGCTCATGTTCTACAACATTTGAAATTAACATTTAAAAATTAATATCATAAATTTGTACAGCGAAACCTATATCTTCATAACATATATATTTTCTGCGATTGGCATTTTGTAAAAAGGTGCTATGTAAGTAATTTCTATTTGTTGTTTAACTTTTAACACAACAAATGATGTTAGAAATTTAAAGTTAACGCTCTGTTTTTAAATGAAAGTTGGAACTTTTTGTTAGAAGTGAGATTAATTGAATTTTATTTATTTAAATAGAAAAATTTTCATAAAAAATTTCTTGTAAATCATATTAAATTTAAGTATATATTATATTAAATATTGCTAAGAGCAATAACAATTCTAACAAACTTCGATTCTAATGATTTATGTTAAAAATTATAATTTATAATCCAAATTCAACTCTTTTGTTTCTTTCGTAACTCTAATATTTATTATATAGCGTATTATACAGCATAAAAGTATGCTAAAAAAGGGAGGAATTAAAGTAACTTATGAAGTTGAAGAAAATTGTCAAAATTATGACAAAGATTCGTGTGTGTGTGCACACACTATCTTTACTATCATTGTTTCCATTTGCAAAATCCACTAAAATAGTAAACATGCATGTCATGCGTTGAATTTTTATTTATAACGGTGAAATTTTCATGCCTGAAAATTGTTGCGTATATATATGGTTGCATAGAAACATATATGATATACATTCAAGCAATAATGATTTTAATACAATTAATTTTATTGTATTGTTGAATTTTTGATAAGGTAAACGTTAAATTTTTTTCTATTTGCACAAACTCAGATGAAGTTCAAATATACTACACTCAAAATCAAGTTTGCTATGATATTTATAAAATAAATAATTAATCTTTTATGTGAATACGAAACCGATAGTTCTAGTGCAATTTAATAAACTTTATTGGTAATTATTACCCAGCCAAGGTTTTTCATGCATTGCATTTTAGGCTTGAAAATGCTTCAATATGAAAAAAAAATTTAAAAAATCCACATGATTGGTTAGAGACACTTACAATAGCTTTCTTGTCAGTCAACTATAATGGACTTTCATATAAATGAAAGGTTGAAATTAATTAGCTTGTTTTCTTATAACAAAAATCTATTTATTTATACTATCTTTATTGTTAGTAACTTTTCTTTAGAATTCCTGTTTTTGCCTTAGCATTGAAAACCGTTAAATCCTAATGGGAATTCCTTTTCAGAACTATCAAAAACATTGGATATCTTTTATGAAAATGAGTCTTTTTATCGTAAAATATAAACAACCATGACGATGAAAATAAGAATGACATTTTTAATTTACTTACAACAATTTCATTTAATTTTTAATAATAAACTATTGACTAATATTTAATTTATTTGGAGTAGTAGCTTTTTTTTTAAAAAAAAATAATCCTTTAAAATACGAATAATAATAAGGGGGATAAAATACAAAGTATAGTTAGTCTATCAAAATAAGAGACACGATAGTGAATGCTATATGGTAATGAAGTTTTTTTCCCACAAAATTGAAACAATGCTCACTAACAAACTATAACGCACTATGTACTTAACATTTTCATATTAGATAATTAAATATTATAAGTCTTTCTATTTTTAGATAATTGAAATAGGAATTCTTTCAAAACAAACGATGACTAAAAATTGAAATAAAATATCATGACTTATAAATTTTCTTAAAACAAACAATGACGGAAAAACTGAAATTAAAAAAACCTGAAAGATATGCAAACCAAACAACAAATGAAAAATTTAAATGAAAAATATTCAAATTTAAGTTCTCTTAAAATAATGACTAAAGAATTTAAATCAAAAGTTTTAAAATATAGATTCTCTTAAAACAAACAATAACCAAAAAATACAAGTAAAAAATCTTCAATTATAAATTCTCTTAGAACAATGACTGAAAAATTGAAATACAAAATCGTGAAATGTAAATTTTCTTAAAGCAAAGACTAAAAAATAGAATTGAAAAATGTAATGGGTACACTTGCAGACGTACAGTGCGTAAAAAGGAAAAAAAACGCTTGAAATAACTTTTGGTCTCATGATCGGATTTTCGCGTATTAGACTCTATCTTAATGGTTCGAGAGAATAACCCTAAATACGCTAAATAGTTCGTGCGGACGATATTTTAAGTTATGAAATCAGGCACAAAGACGTACCTACTGTGCCTTTTTTCTTTTCTTCGATGGATTCGGATTTCTGACCCTTAAAATATAGGGAGTAGCCGCAATTTAGGAAATATGGTCACAATAGTTTGGCCAGGAAAGCGGTCTTAAGTTTAGACCTCTAAATGTTAAACTTAATTTTCATCGTATTTCGCAATATCTCGAAAGCTTTTTAAGAGAACTGCAAAGTTTTAGCGCACAGTTATAAAATTCGTTTATCCAAAGATAATTTCATGCAAAAAAATAATTTTTAAAAATTATTTATAATTTTTCATTATATTATTTTATTTTAGTCGAAAAACTTTTGCATTGTAAGGTGTAGAAATGTTTACATCATTTTAAATAATGTACTGGTGTGTAACAAAATACAAAATTTGAGTGAAATCGAACGTTTAGTTCCTGAGAAATCGACTTTTAAAAAAGTCATATATTTAAAATTTGATTTCTCAAGAATTATTCGACCGATTTCGTTTATATTTTGTCACATGAAATTACCTTTATTAAAATGAGGAAAAATTTATATACATTAAAAATCAAAAATCTTTCGACCATTAAATATATAATAATAAATAGTTATTAAAAATTACTTTTTGCATGAAATTTTCTTAGGATAAACGAATTTTATAATTGTGTACGAAAAGATTTAAATTTTCCTGAAAAGTTCTCGAGATATGGCTAAACAGGCAAAAAGTAAAATTAACATTAAACTTAACCAAACTTAAGACTCGCCCTACTGACCAAACTATTAGAAAAATATTTCCCAGATAGCTGCTATTTCGATTATTTTATAGGTCAGGAATTTAAATTCGTCAAAAAAGAGGAATGTTTATTCACAGAAAATATGTTTTTGAGCCTGGTATTGTAACTTAAAATATAATCTGCACCAACTAATTAGCATGTTTAAGGTCATCCTCTCAAACCATTAAGATTAAGTCCAAGTAGTTGAAAATTCGATCATGAGATCATAAGTTATTTAGGGTGTTTCGTATATTTTTTTGCGCACGGTACTTTGTACATGTTGTAAGTGTGGGCAGAGTACTTTTTTAAATAAATAAATTCAAAGAATTAAAAAAAAAACTAAATTTATCAAACGATTAAATTGAAAAAGCAACAAATAATTTACTTAGCAGTTTATTATTACAAAAAATAATTAAGACAGCAAATTTTAAAAATAATGTTAAATAAATATGTTTCTATTATGTTTTTATTAATAAATTTTATTATAATATTTTTAATACATTTTGCTATTGTTCTTTTAAAACCAAATTTTATTATTATGTTTTATAAGGGATATTATGTTTTAATATTATTAATTAGTCTATTATTAACTTAACATTTCAAAAATATTTTCTCCGGTTGCATTGATAGCTCTTTTATGTTGAACATTTAGAGATTCAATAAGAGTCATGCAAATGCCAATTTATATTCATAAGTATTATTTATATTAAAGTATTCATGCAAAAAAAAAAAAAATTTCTCGAATATTGTGATACATAATAGTAAAAAAACCTATCTCTGGTCTCCTTTACTACATCACTTTTCACGTTGAGCAATCAATCGGCTCGTACAACAATTTGTATAGCAACTTTCATTCCTATAAAATTTCATATGCATCAATAAAAAATGCTTAAAAAGTGCATATAAATTGCATAAATCATAGTTTGTTATATAAATTGCATAAATCATAGTTTGTTATATAAATTGCATAAACCATAGTTTGTTCCGTTCCATCCTTATATGAAATTCTTACAGTAGTCATTCATTACATGCGCAGTGAAACCTTTAGGAACTCGAATCACCCCAAGTCATGGAATCTGCAGAGAAGGTTCTGTTTTGGAACTACGGTGCCAGTCATGGGGATCTAGACCTCCGTCAGAAATCACCTGGTGGATGAAGAACTTTCGTCTCTTCAATGTGTCAGGGTACAAGTACGACTTGGACAGTACAGCCAGTACTCTGACCCTTCTACCAACCGCTGCTGACAATGGAAAAACCATCAGATGCCAAGCTCAAAACCACAAGCTACTTGGTGCCATACAAGAAGATAGCGTCATCTTGAATGTTACTTGTAAGTAAAATAATCTATCATATTCTATAGTAGACTGTTTACTACTGTTTTAGTATACTTTATTTATAGTGAACTGTCGACTGACTGAATTTAGAGTAGACTGTAGACATACTATAGGTGTTTAAGCATATGGTCGGTGAACTTATAACTTGGACTTAACTCAAAGTGCACGTTTAAAATACTGGACATTTTAAATGTGCGTTTGATAAAATGATTATAGCTCAAAAAATGCACTTAAATTAATCCAAAACCGAACTTTTACCATCGTTAAAAATATGGTTTCTTTGTTTAAAATTATGCCCTCTGAAAATTTGAGTACTGCGTACTGCATTTCAAACATTACGAATGATCATTATAACATTATATATTATACTTCTTTAAAAAAATTTTAAAATAAATAAATATATAGTAAATATATAATAGTCCCCTAACAGTAGTTTATATCTTAAATAAATAGAATTTGCGTCTCAAATTTACGTGATTTCCAACTCTCCACACTTCCCCCTCTCCATTACCATGGTTTCGGATCCCTCGTGAAAGAAGGTACAACGCTCAGCAGCGTGGACATTAATTGCCCTCTCACTAAGCACCAGGTTAAGACTAGACTGAGGAGGGTCAGCAGAGAGTTATGGCTGGATAGATGAGATAATTCACATAATGGAAGGCAAACATATAAGTTTTACCCAAAAATTAACGAAAAACTGTTTAGCTGTGACTTTTATTTAAATCAATTACATACTGCCCACGGAGTGTTTGGCGAACATCAACCAGGAATATTTCAAAAATCAGGTAGTTGCAAATACTGTTTCAAATTATTACACATCTTTTAACTGAGTGTGAGAGATTCACAACACTCCGTGGCAATTATTTAACATGTAGGGGAATTATGGAGACTTGGTGCAAAAAAGAAAAGAAAAAAAAACAAGAACAGGAACTGATTATTAAAACTATCATCAAAAGAACTGTAGAAGACATTCTTGCACCCGACGACTTCATGGACTCCCTATATTCACTCATCCTAAGTCACACCCTACCTGACTTCTTACATTTTTTTGCTTACACCATTATTTTAACGATTTCTTGATTCGGGATATCAATTCTCTTTAACTTTTGACGCTTTAAATTATTTTATCAACTAGCCACAGCCTTTTTAGTCCTTACTCCAATTTTATATTTTTCTACCTCTCTTTTAATATTTTAAATTTTAGACTGATTTTGCCTTACTCCCAATTTTAGCTTTTAATTCTTACTTTTAATACTCTTTTACTTGTACTGGTTTTATATTCATTCTTCTTGGCATTTGCCATTAGTTTTTTCTTCGATTTTAATTGTCCCCATTTTACTATTTTATATATTTACACTGTTTTAGCCGATTGCCCATTTTAGAAGTGATTTTAGTTAAAATCTTTATTGTTTTGCAATATTGTTGCTCCTGCACTGTTTGTTTGCAGTTTTATATGTCAACTGGAGCTTGGTTGGGACTGCATTCGATTGATCATACATATACAACCAGGAATTTTAATGTTTTACATGATTTTGTAGATGATCTCGTTTTCGGCTCACTGTTAGGGATGATCTCATCGGCAAATGCACCATAAGATGGACACCCCGGAGCAAACTGATTTTATTATTTCGTTTCATCTTTTGCACTCACTTGTAATTTTATATGTAGCTTTTAATAAATGCCACGAGTGTGGTCTAGCCGACCTGGTTGGTCAGCCGGGCGCATGTGCTGGTGGTCTGATCGCGATCCTCTTGGGAGGGCTGTCGTGGCGCCGAATTATCCATCCGTAAGCCCAAATGAGGGTAGGGCGGAATACTCTTTACCATGGTTTCGGTAAATATTTCGTTTTTTACTACAGTAGCACTTTCATTAAAGCATTGAATTATACTGGGGTAAGAAAAACTTTTGCTGTAATCAGACTAACGGAGAGGGGGATGTGTGGAGATAGGGGAAATCACATACCATTCAGGCGCCTATTTTATTTGCAAACAATATAATACAGTTAAAGGAAAATCGTGTAACACTCATTGAATGAAAGCATTCCCTTTCAAAGGGAGTGGCCAAAAGGCTATTTTTAACAGATTTACTCCATCCAACTTTGATTCTTCTGTAAATTTCATTAATGGCATTATCCATTGTTAATTCTTATCTTAAATAAACGTAATGGTGTATTTCTTCGATTTCTACTCCTTGAATAAGAATTTAAATTTTATGAATTTATTCAATTTCAAAGAATTCCTTCATGAAGCATTTCTCAAGCCAGTTGGAAAATGGTTTAGCATAGGCTTAAGGAACCTGCCATCTTCGCTTTTGATTCGATAGTATTTTTGCTTCTTCCTTACTTACACATTAATTTGCGACCCCTAATGTGCATTTTTATCTTCGCTTTTAATAAGAATTCTAATAAATTAAGGGTGGTGATTACAGATTTCTATTTACAATTAATTATATTAACGAGGATTATTGAGCTTTCAATATTCCAAGATAAAATACAGGAGGCAAATTGAATAAGATCTATATATCTATATTGTAGTGGACTTAGCGGCTTTAGTATACACCGACTGCTAAACTAAGCTCAGTGGCGCGACAGCCCATAGAGGGCCAAGGCCTACTGGGCCCATCTCAGTTTTTTTGACCTTGAACTCCAGGGTGTAGGACCAGATGTTTCGGTCAGGTGGTCAGCCGAACGCGGAACCCCCAGTGTTTAATTCCCAAGCATGCTTGGTACTCATTTATCAATCCACTGACGGGATGAAAAGCTGAGTCAACCTTGCCCTGCCCGAGGATCGAACCCAGGACCTGTGGCACAAGATCGCGAAGCACTACCACTCAGCTACCGGGCGTCGGCATACACCAACTACAGTAAGTTAATTGCTACCCCCAAGCACACAAATTAGGCAATTTTTAATTAGAAAAATTGGGATTTGATCTTTTGTATCCAAGTGAATACTATGGTAAATACACTATATAACAAAAAAATCGACGCACCAAGAACCAATCATCTGATTGCTTTGAAATTTCGTATGCATGAATGTTTTGAACAGATATGGCTGGAATGATGCCGACTGGGGACGTATAGTCTTTAGCGACGAATCCCGCTTCCAACTGTGTCCTGACGATCATCGAAGACGTGTTTGGAGACGCACAGGGCAGAGGGGGGATCCTGCCTTCACTATTGCACGCCACACCGGCCCTCAACAAGGCATTATGGTCTGGGGTGCCATTTCCTTTGACAGCCGGACCCCTTTGGTCGTCATTAGAGGTACACTTACTGCACAGCGGTACGTCGACGACATCCTAAGACCTGTTTTGCTACCGTTCCTTTTGCAGCGCCCTGGGCTGGTTTTTCAGCAGGACAATGCCAGACCACATACGGCACGTGTTGCTATGAACTGTCTGCAAGCTTGTCAAACTCTTCCTTGGCCTGCCAGATCACCAGATCTCTCTCCCATCGAGCATGTCTGGGATATGATGGGAAGGCGATTGCATCTGGCACGGAATGTTGATGACCTCGTTCGACAATTGGATCGAATTTGGCAGGAAATACCGCAAGAGACCATCCGGGAGCTTTATCGGTCTATGCCACGCCGTGTGGCAGCTTGTATCCAGGCTAGAGGCGGGTCAACACCTTATTGAACTTGTTACTGTAACTCTGCAATAAATTATTCAATTGTTCTGAAATTTTAATCATTTACTATTCTGTACATTGTCTTCCTATCCACCACTTTTCGTTTCAATCGGACAACTCCTTCTTGGTGCGTCGATTTTTTTTGTTATAGAGTGTATAATTTGAAAGTTTGCTGTGGAAAGAGAGTTTAGAGAGCGCGAAACTTTCACAATTTGTAACGTGTCGTGTCACAGTGAATAAAAATCAACTCAAAAAGTTAGTAAAGATACTTTTTATTCTCGGCAATAATAAAAGATCCTAAAAAAACTCCTGAAATTAACAGACTATTTGACCGCAGAAATATCATGATACAACAACCATTAGCTAGTTCAAGTAATTACGTTTGTATAGCATTGTTTGTATATCATTATGAATCTCACATGTACATCAATATGTACATACTCACAGAATAAATACTGTCGACGTTGACATAGATTTGGTCGAGTCATTTCATGAAAATAATTTGAGAAATGATATGGTAAAAGGTTAAATGAAGAAGAAAAAAATTATTCCGAGTAGCCACGGTATTTATACAAAAGAATAATTAACATGATATCGATGCCACAAACATTACCTTAAATAATAAATTGCATACAATTTACATAGAACACCTGCAAGACTACTACATTACGACAAATAAAGTAACCTAATCGTCTTTCCAAAAAGTTATTTAATCAATTCTTATTCAAATAAGTCGCGTTGTATAAATGGCGCAAGAAAGAAGTAAAACTAGTTGATTTCAGTAAGAAATCAACTATTTCCTTTTAGCAACAAATGCTTCTACTTTCGTCCAATTTTTATATGAAAGTAAAAAACGAAATAATTTTACTATTATTTTTGAACGCATTGACCCTATCACGTTCCTGTATTCTTCATTTTTTCGTGGGAAAGATATTTTACATAGTATTATTTCTCACACATATCTAATTACACATTTTTAAAAAAAAGGTACTGATTTTAGAACGAATGTAACTATGCACTGGCACAAAAGAAATAAGTAGACTATTTCAGCACTGAAAGATTTTCAATAAAAATGATAAGCCATATTTGTACACTTTTCCGAGAGAGTGCTTTTAGTGATTTCCATATAGAAGGGGGGGGGGATGTTTCTAGTATTTATGGTGCTATCATCTACAACAGTGGTCGCCAAACTGATCTACTGTACCATTGTTATATCTTACTGTAAATTACCTACCCAAAAAACTACCTGATTTAAGAAATAAAATAAAAATCTTACATTTGTTTAATTAGGTCGGTGGATGAATCAATAAGGTTGGCGCTTACGCAAAGTATCGAAAATGTCCCCTCTATGATTTTGCGAGCACTGACTTGGAGAAAATTTCAGAAACTAAGTACCACTTTGTGATCAATACTTAGGAACATTTTGGGGTAAATAAAAAAGTATGGTCTATCTTCATTGGTTTTAAAAAAAAAGTGTATTTATCACCATATTGCCTCATTGCTTTCGATTCAAAAATTACAATCAGGAATGATTTTTGTTATTTCAAATGAATCTTAAATGTTTTTATTATTGAGACTTTAGCTCTGTTAACTCTGATATTGTCTGTCTCTGCAGTCTCTTTAGGTAACTAACTACCATGGCCTTGATTTTTTTTTTCTTATCTACATACATGTATAAATATTTCTCATACACGATGACAAAGGAAACACTCATTACATTTTTGTGATGGCCACAAAGAATGGAAATATTAAGCACGTGAGCGGTCTTAAGCATGAAAGCGTAAACGTACATGTTTAAGAATTTTTGGATGAAAACTTTTTCCTCGCATGGACTACGAAAAGCTGAAACTGAATAATAATTATAATTAGAGCTGTGGTGGCTCAGGGGATAAAGTACTCCCTTCGAATGAGGTGATCCGGATTAGATACCCAGCAATGGCTGGTCAATACGCATTCCGCATTCGGTCAGCACCGACCACAGTGTAATTTATCCTCAGTGGTTAACGGGTCATAGGTTACTATCCCTTTACCGTTATGCTAACCTCGGCAAATGTTCGTAGTTTTCCTCTTCATGTAACGCAAATGCGGTTTAGTTCCATCAAAAAAGTCTTCCACGAAGGCAAATTTCTCTAAATACTTGATTCAGAAGTTCCCTTGTCCTCTGGATAGGGTTCAAAATTACACGGGTACGGAATTGAACTTTGGTAGTTATAAACTCAAAAATTGAATCGACTGTTCAACGACGGCGATAAAATAAAATAATAATAATTATAATAATAATTGTCTTACAGGGATAGCTCAAAGTTCTAAAATTTATAATTGCGTTTTTAATAGTAATTGTTTCTAAAACAATATTGTTTTGTTTCAGCAAGTTTTCCTATAGCGTGTCACTTATTTTAATTTTAAAAAAATTTATTTCATAAACTTATTATTGAATAAAATATATTCCATTTTTTTAAAGAGGAATTGATTTAAAAAACTTTAAAAATTAATTTAAAAAACTTTAATAATTAATTTAAATCCTTCAGATTTCGCGCTAGAACCAATTTCAAATGGATTTAACTTAGTAGTGATCAAATCAAAAATGGTTTTGCAAAGATTTCAGAGCAATCTCCGTGGGTTGGGGAGTCAGCGAACATTAAATGCAAATTAATGTTAGATTAACAAATCGTTTCAGCTTGCTTTATACCTAGTTTCCAAAATTTCTAAAGACATAACAGGAGCCTGACCAGGCCGAATTTAATACTGTTTAGCGGTACCTTCACAAATTCAACTTTAGGAAAAACGGTAGTTTCACAAAATACTTTTTCTTAAAATTTTATTTTTGTATCCCTCAAGAAACGATAAATCCATATTTTTGTGTTAATCTTTTAATATAATTTTTAATTTTCACAAATTATGCCTAAATTTTCGCAAAATAGGTACCTCTCAGAAATACCTAGACAGACCCCTGCATAAATATCATTAGGTAAATGTTTAAATCCCGTTTGCATTATCTAAATATGTACTGACAATTATTCTTATTTCAGTTCCGCCTAAAGTATCATTATCATTGAAAACATATTCTACCAGTTCCCTTTCTGAAGGGGATACAGTTGCGCTAATGTGCAAAGTAACAGCGAACCCACCAGTTGGACTTACCTATTGGTCGTTCATGCAAGAGACTACTGTCAGATCGAACCAAGACCCCTTTCCTTCGCAGGGACGACAAACTTTAGTGTTAGAGAGATTAGAAGCATGGCATAAGGGCAGTTACCGTTGCAAAGTTAACAACAGCGAAGGTTCTGGTGAAAGTAATGCCTTATGGTTGGCTGTCAGACGTAAGTTTTGTTATGGTAGTTTTACTGTATGAATGTGCTATTTATGTGGAGTTAAAAGCATTTCAATTTTATTGTAGTAATATTTCCCCAACCAACAGCATGCAGAATTCGTTATATTACAAATCCTAGCATAAATTTAGGTTATTTAAAACTGTATGTGAAAATTTTAATATAAAGAAAATACGTTACGCTATTTAAAACTCAGAGTTTAAAGCATTTTGTATAGAATTTAAAATACGGAACAAAAACTATCGTATACTTGAAAAACTCTGAGCAAGTATATTAACATTTGTAGTTATGATGTAGACCTAGCTCTTAGGAGACAAAAAGAAATGTAGCTTACAGATTTTGATATGTTCATTTATTACTGTAGATCTAGTCATAAAGAAGGATCTCTCATTCAAATTCTAGACAATTGGATAAATTCTTCATCTGTTTTTCTCTTAGTTAAGAATATTTAACTTTCAAATTAACGATCAGGTCTTTTTTTAATTTTCAAAAATTCATATTTTAACGGTTCTGCTTGAAGAAAGAGCTTAAGCCTTTTTCCTCAAACCTATCAACAGCCATAACAAATTAAAAAGTAAAGTAAAAAGAATTATAAAGTGAAAAGAATTTAAAAGTTAAGTTTTTTGTTATTTTATTCCATTGTACTGGTTTAACTCTTTTAATCCAATCAAGAACCATCGTCAACTGAAGAGATTAAGGTGTATCTTTAAACGTTAATTATAACTAAGCGCTGGAATTACTGCACAATATTTATTAAGAGCGTATTTGTAAATTAATGCAATAAAGTAACAATTAAGTGATCTAATTTAGCCACGGTCGATGTAACCTTTCAATCTAACTATTAGATGATGCATCACTATATCAAATAAAGCAAAAACGAAAAGAAATATGTGTTCTACGTCTACAGTCCCTGGCCAAATTATTAGACGCACTATAAGATTCTATGTAAAATCTTAATTATCAAGTGATACTATACAACGTTATTGTTTTTATATGACTGAAACCGGTTTGCACTTGTTTACGTTCATGTATTAATTGCTTAACATTGCAATGCAATACGTTAAAACTAAATACAAATAGGATGTATGTAAAAAATCTCCCAAATGAAAACCCAATAAACTTATGCTTAAATATAAAAATGTTGCATATAAACTAGTGCAAAACATATAATTATTAAAAAACTACAATGCGTCTGATAATTTTGTCTAGTTATTAAAATATACTAATGCAATACAAAGAATATTCTTCATTTCTATAATACATCGTCTAATTTATCTAATCGTCGAAATTATATTATATATCGCCTAATTTAACCAATATATATGTTACGGTGAAACACCGAAATCTGGAGAATGTCGACATTCACCGGTAAATGTCAACATTCATGTAGTCGCTTGGTGTATGTCCGAAGTATTTGCTAAATACCCTTATTTCTGACTTTCACCGGTGAATGTCCGAAATATTTATTACATTCTATTTTATATGAATTTATTCGTGGATATAATTACATTTATTCTATATTTTAATACTTACTGACGATAGATCAGAAGAAACATCAGTGTTTGGAGTATCGGGCCATACATTTACATAAATTTACATACATTTACATAAATTTACATTATGCCCGGTAAACATTTGCCTGGTATACCCTACACTGATGTTTTTTTAAGGTTAAGTGCCATTGCCCGGTATATATTTGCCCGATACTCCAAACACTGATGTTTCTTCTAATCTATCGTCAGTAAGTATTAAAATATAGAATAAATATAAATATATCAAATAAATACAATAATATTAACGAATAAATTAATATAAAATTGGATATAACAAATATTTCGGACATTCACCAAAGCGACTATGTGATTGTTGACATTCACCGGTGAGGGTCCGAATGTACAAGAATGTAATGAAATATTCGATCTTTTGTATTTGGTGTTTGACGACATTCACCGATCAACAACCACCGATTTCGGTCATTCGCCGTAACTTATATATACGAAGGTAAAAACAATAAAGCTGTATAGTATCAACTGATAATTAAGATTTTTCATAGAATCATATAGTGCGTCATTTTATCTTGAAGAGTAAAATTTTATCCTGACTTGAAATACTGTTTTTAACAGGATCATCTTTATATGAAATTTTAATAAAAATCATCATTGTTAAAACTAAACTTTACAAAAGTTTTTTGTTTTTTAAGGAAATTACAGGTAGTGCATTATAAATTGCAATGATTTCAATTCTTGCAGATCGACCTATATGTAAAGCGGATCAGCAGGTATCCTATGGTGCTTATTTCGGAGAAATCCTGAACATCCAATGTGAAGTTGAAGCCGAACCTGTCACCGTTTCTTTCCATTGGGGATTTGCAAACACCCTAGTCCAACACGACAATGTTAACTTCTCGAGCAGAGGACTCAAAAGCATTGCAACTTACAGACCCACAGAAGAAGTTCATTTAGGATCGCTATTTTGCTGGGCAAATAATACTGTAGGAGAACAACACGTACCCTGCACTTTCACAGTCTTCAAGCCTGGTCAGTGCATTTTCATTCTTATGAGATTTTTATTAAAATAATGAGAGTAATCCATCCTTTGTGATAAAACTAACTGAAAACAACATATTAAATCTCAAATGGTAAAATTTATCAAAATCCTAATTGCGCTTCGGTATTGCTTAACACATTGCGGAACGTAAAAAAAGGGAACATCCTGAATAATTTTTTATCTAAGGATACTAAATCGGTTGAATAATTCTCGGGGAGAGAGGTGGGCAAGTGCGGACATTCTTAACCGCAACTTGTCAAAAAACCATATTTAATATACTTTTTAACTAATGAAGCATTTTTTTTACAATATTTTGAACAATTATCCACATTCTGATTTATATTTGGAATAACAGAGTTGTTTAGTTTTTCCATAATAAGTTATTTTAAAAAATGTATAGTCCACACTAACCGCAATACACTTGGTTAATGTGGACAAACTATGAGGCTAATGTGGACAAACTATGAAGCTATGTGGACAAACTATGAAGCTATGTGGACAAACTATGAGGCTAATGCGGACAAACTATGAGGCTAATGCGGACAAACTATGAGGCTAACGTGGACAAACTATGAAGCTATGTGGACAAACTATGACAAACTTCATAACTAATAAAGTGGCTTTTCATTACAATTCAAAAAGAAATATATGTATAGCCAATATGAAATCAATTTCAACAGAAGCCTTATTAGAGAAAAAAATAATGACATTATTTTAATTAAAATACTAATTTGTAATGTAGCATTGCATTACACTAAGAAAGAGATTTCGAAAATGAATCACTGGATTTGAAAATCATTATTTAATTTGATTTTTTTGAAAGTCCGGAGCCAATTTTAAGTTGAATCAGTTTTAATAACCATATTTTCAACTTAATGGGGAAATTGTTCGAATGAACAGCACGCGTGATTAAGCGATATTGCACTGAAGCAATGAAAACAGATCGTAAAATAGAAGATGGCGCGATTTGTTAATATTTTGTTTTAGTATAATGTGTGGCAAAAATTCTTCTTTAATTCATCGATCTTAAATTATATTCTTCTAACAAACTTGGTTAAACATCTTCTTTAAATTTTCTTAAAACTTTAAAGAGTGAATTAATATAAATATTTCGCTAAATTTTTTATTTGAGATGAGCAAATAAAAAATTTAACTGTTCGCAAGGGTTTTTTACAAAATTATTCTGATTTAGAAAAAAGAATAACATAAAATGTAATAAAACTGTAAATATTTCATATTTCTTCCATTCAAATTTCATGTTATCTGTTTAAAATCATTTCTGCTTTCCTCATTCACGATCACGACTAGCGAGTCTTGAAAATAGGCGCCTATTTTGAGCACTCGAGATATTTAGACTTATATTGTTATCGCCATATACTTAAAACACAAGTGAGGGTTTTACATAATCAAATATATAATTTAGTTTATCTGAGCGAATAACATTGTATAGATTAATTTTCTAAAATCTTGGGAACCAAAGCTTTCATTTCAGGCATATCATCTTTTTTTCAAATAGATTAAAAACTAGTAAAAAATAAAAAAGAATAGTATAATTTTTATAATTTGTATCCACCGTAATTTATTAATAATTTCAGTATAATTTCCTTCAGTCTTACAATAATTGTGAATATGATTTCTTAAAAACCTAAAGAGGTAACTGATACTAAAAAATATACAATAAAAATGTAACTAGGCTTGCCATAATGCTGTAGAATGTTTCCACAATACCGTTTTATAAAAAAACATAATTCTCATTGGGAACCACAAATTAATGTTGACACTGGGAAAAAACCCAAACGCTATCGAAGACTATCTCGAATCACTGAAAACGAAGGCGGGGGGGGGAGGAATTAAAAACAAAAAAGCAATTTTATTGCCTGACGAAACTGAAGAAGTTTCTAATAATCGTTTCGAAGCTTCCTTTTATTTACGCATCACAAAAGTTTTGATGTTTTTAGTTCCGCTTAACTCACCTCGATATCGTTTTTTAGACCTTTTTCCACGACCTCTATATCGTTTTTTTAAGATTATTTTTAATTTAATTTTGACAAGAATTTCAAAAAATATGTCAGTCATTAGCAGAACGCCATACAACGTAAGAAACGCTTCATGGCAAATTCTGTTCTTCCTACATCATTAATTTTTAATACAGAAAATAGTAATATTGTGTAAAGTTATAATAAACCATGAAGATTCAAATAACGAAGAAATGTTTTCAAAATCTCGGAATGCTAGCACAAAATAACGAAATTACTTTTCCATTATATAATTCTGCTATAATGCGCTTGCAATTTGATATTTTTAAAAAAAAGCATTCGAAACACCATTGTTCATTCTAGGTTTACCAGCACTAACTTTGCTCTATACTTTAAATTTTAAATAACTAATTAAGATAAAAGTTTGCCATAAAGCGTTTGTTCTGCGTTTTAACGTCCTCTTGAGAGAACGTATACTACGGGAGAAACTTTTCGTCGTAAATTCTCTTTAAAATCTCCATAAGTAATTTAAAGTATAGAAAAAATGAGTTCAGACAAACCTATAATAAGCCATGAAGTTTCAAATACTGAAGAAAAATATTTAAAAACATCAAAATGAAATTAAATTATGAGAAGATAACTTAGGATTAAGCAGTGGAGAAGTTCTCTTTTAATAATTTGTTTGCATTTTGATGTTTAAAATTTTTTTTAGCAATTGAAACTTCGTGGCTTACTTATGTTTGGCTGAACTCACTTTTTCTTTCTTTAAAACTTTAAATTAGGAAAGAGGGTTTGAGACGAAAAGTTTCTCCCGTGATATGACGACCTTTTAAGGAATACTCTGCATATCAAAAACTTTATTTTTGCGAAGTTGTCCTGCAAAGCAGGGCAAAACTATGATATTTTGAAATTCAGTCCATTGTAACTTATTTTCACCTTACTTACGCGAAATCAGACTCAATGAAATAATCAATTATTTATTTTCATATCTGTAGTTGTTCCCAATCGCCCGAAGCATTGCAAGGCACTGAATCGAACCCACAGTTGGTTTTTAGTGACGTGTGAAGCAGGCTACGACGGAGGAGCTCCTCAGCATTTCCACTTTCAAGCTCGCATCAAAGGATCTGGCGAAAATGGAATAACTCTCAATTCGCCAATTCCTGTCTTCAGTCTCTCTGGGCTACCGTCAGGAACAAACTTTGAAGTCATCATAACATCCAAAAACAAAATGGGTGAAAGTCCAAAATTTTACATTGATGTATCAACATTGAGAAGTAGCAAAAAAGGTGAAGTAATGCAACGTAATATAATATATATTTTTTTCTTTTGCCTACAGTTTTTATATGGGATGTTTGATAATAAAAAAAAAAACTTTGAGACAGGTTGGACGTTGGGGTCGTGTTCGTGAGAACGATTTGAGAGTTCGAATCCTGCTGGCCGAATAATCCCTGTGTATTAAATGGTGATTGGTGCACGTTAAATCTGTCGGTCTGGGTCACTAAGTGCTTCAAGTTCTCATAACAAATCAATACCTCTTGGGGTACTGAATTGGAGATAAATCGTTCTCTGATTAAGGTCAAAATTACCGTCTGTGGGTGAAATAATAGAGCATGATTGGATTCTCTTTGTAAAATGGGCATTGACGTGTATGTGGCTGAAATGGTATTCTTGACCATAGATGGATGCACTGAAAGGAAAGCACCCTCTGTCTTGAAAATTAGCTTGACTTCAAGCAGGCTTGCTGGTATTAGCAAGTGGCATAAGTAACAACAGCAAATCTAAACAACAATTGACAAAATCTGTGCTACCGTAAACAGTTTTTACACATCCCGCTTATCACAGCAAAAAATAAGTCTATTGGAACATTTGTAATTTCGCGTTTTTATTGCGAGGGTTAGGAAACACCCAAATTAAAATTATATTAAGACTATTTAATGTAACTCTAAGGAAACCGATTACACAAATAAGTCTTAGAGAGAATCAGTGAATGATTGAAAGGCGAATATATGAACCAGCAAATCAATAAAAGAGCATATCAGCAAATGAGCAAATCAACAGGTCAAAGAACCAACAAAGGAGCTAGTCGATGATTTATCAAATCATTAAATATACGAATCGTAAACAAATGAATAAGTTCATAAGCAAATTTTAAAATTTATGAACCTGTGAGACAATAAATTATCTAGTGAACAAATTAGTGAAATATTGCTTGTATTCCATGAATAAACAAATCAACAAATCCCTGAATCAATTAATTAATAATATGTTGAAAGGAGAAAATCGAAGGTAGAGTGTTTTAGCGAAAAAATGAATTCATATTTCAGCAGGTCAATAAATCAGAAAATCCTTGAATTATCAGATCAAGGATTCTACGACCTGCTGATTCGTATATTCATTATTCCGTTGTCTCGTCGATTTGTTTACTCACGAAATCATTGATTCATTGGTTCGATTCTCCTTATTGGTGCTGATTCTCCTTATCATTCATTCTCTAATGCATCTATCCTTTGTCCTGCTAATTTGTTTATTCATTGCTTCTATGATATTTTATTTGCTCATTAATTTATCCATACTGATTCATTGATTTGCTTGTTTATCAGATCACTCATTTATGTATTCCTTAATTTATTAATTATTTTTATTCGCTGATTCTCCAGGCTTACTGACTCTCCATTCATCAATCCAGTGATCTGCTGATTCATTTATTAATTAACTTAGTTGCTGAATCTGGATCCTCTCCCTCGTTAATTTGCCGTGTTAACGGTTTATTTAGTGGTTTGTTGACATTCTTACTCGTTGATTTGCTTATTTATCGATTTATTGAGTTATTTGTTAGCAATTTCAGTGTTTTCACTGGAAGTTTCAGTAAATGAACTCTTCTAATGTAATGTAAATGAATGAATGTAATTAATTTTAATGTAATGTAATGTAAATGAACTTTTTTCAGTAAACGAACTTTTCATTAAATAAACTTTTCTTGGTATTAAGAACGCGAAATAACTAATTGACAAAAATATAAATGCTCCAAGGAATTTTACCCTTAATTACACGTAAAATTATTTATAATATTATAATATTTATAATAAATATATAAATTATTTATTGGCTAATTATTTGTGATACATGAAAACTTTAGAGGTTTTAAATTACTATTTAAGCTAAGAGTAAAAAAATTGCGTTATCAAAATCTAACATATTTCTGAAAGGAGAAAAAAATATAAAAGGTTTGTTATCAAATGGTTTTTAGATCTTTGTGCAGATTAAACAATAGTTTTATTTATTATTGCGGAGAATAAGCAAATTTATTCCAAAATCAATAAGCTTTTAAGAGAAGATATTTATAAGGTTGGATTTCAAATAAAAAATTCATGAAATCATAATGCTCCCAAATTCATTCCAGTAAACGTTTTAAATATTAGTAAAAAAAAAAAATTTTATTTGATTCTAAATTTTTTTAAACAGAAAATACTGATTTTAAAAAGTTAAGCTAATTGTATCGTTCTAAAGTAAAGTTTTGATTTATATTACCATAGTAACTGAAAAACAAAGTGAGAAATACATAGTTTTTTTTTTAGTAATATCATTAATATTAGTTTATTTTCTATTTTAGGTTCAACGGCTTGGAAAACCAGCAGAAACCTTCTCATCTCTTCAATGCTTATTCTTTTTATTGCTCTTTTGGCACTTGCAACAGCAGCTGCTTTGCGTCATAGATCTCGTCCATTCCTCTTAATAATTCAATAAAAAGAAAAACACTTTGTATTAGACGTGCGTATGAAATGAAATTAATCGTAATTCAAAATCAAAATTGATTTTAAAAAAAGTAGTTTTCTGCATTGAAGTACATGAATCAATCATATATTTTGGAAACACACAATTTATAGGGATATGTTTTGTCTTCAATAAAAAAAAAATATGCAATACTTTTTAAAAGAACTTTCACTCTTTTGGGCGTAAATTCTTCCTCGGCAATTTTCGCACCTCTTTCTTCTTCTCTACACCGTACCTGAATCAATAAATGAGACTTTTTATTCTGTGATCCATTTTTGCAATCTTTTGATTGCAGAAAACCCAAACCCACAGATTCTAAATAGGATTAATTTTAAAACAGCAAATTTGATTTTATGGCATCAATCCTCCTTTTCTTCTTCTTCCATATTATTCTTTTTTAAATATTAGCTTGATGTAAAATCTTATAGAAAAATCCCCTCTTTGGACGAAGACACGTTGTTTAACTCTGTTTATTTTTTTGTCACATTATTTTCCATTACATATTAATGATCACTATTTTTTAACAGGTACGAGAGGCCTTTCTCAATCGTATTAAAAATATCCCCGAAAAATTATTTTTTTCCAATTCATCGAAAAATACAAAACTTCACCCTTGATTCAATTAATACGCTCACTGCTATTTATCACGCATGTCAAACTGAATACCGCGAATACTAAATTAGAATTTGCATAAAAACACGAAAAGATATAATTTCATCATCAACTCACGCAATTATATCAAATTACAGTGCTTTCTATTAATCTATTAATATAGCCAAAACAAAATGTATCAATAAAATAGTGGAAGCAACATTTAAAAGAAAAATCGATACGAGAAAGAAACGCATCTGGCAACAACAACAAAAAACAAGAAAATACAAAATAAATTAAAAATTTAAGAAAAACAAATAAAACGCAAAAAGTGAAATATTATGAAGGAGCGAGATCAAACGTCCATTTACGTACTGACATCATACAAAAATGATTTAAAAATATTTTCTTAACTAGTGTACCAGAACACAAAATATAAAATTAAAGCGTAAATGGAGGGTAATGGATTATATTTTTTAAGGCACAGTCTTACTGTAGTACAGAACCGCTTTTGATTTGTGTGTTACCTTGGATTGGTCCCAAACTGGATTTAATCAATGTAATTGGATATTATACAGGAAAGCTCCAAGATTAATAAAAGATCGAACTTAATTATAAATTTTAATGACCTTTTAGAGAAATTAATTACATTTATTGAATCATTTCGAACATTGTTTGAACAGTTTCTGAATCATAAAAATCGTTGATGAATAACTTATTTAGTTTTTTTTACATAAAATTTAAAAATAAATAAATTACAAATCCAAAAACAAGTAATCTCTAATGATATATTTTAAGTCTATTGCTTAAAAAAAGTTGCTTACACAGAATGTTCCATAATTACCTATCTATATGTTATTAATTTCCATTAATTATTGTATTGTTTTAATTAAATCCCTTGCTAAAACTAAAGTTAAGCAAGTATAAGTGTTTGTAGTTGCAAAATAATATTTAAGAGAGGAAAAAAATTTCTGTCGAAATCTGACGAATCACTAGCAAAAAAAGTGAGATGAAAAACACCAAAACCTGTTTTGACGCTGAAACTTGGAGGTATTTCTAATAAACGCCTTTCAATTCCTCTTTTTTTTTTCTCTTACTATCACTCAGACTTAGAAAATTTCAGTTCCGCTTGTCTTAGTAGTGATTCGATAGATTCAAATAGCGTTTTTTTTTCATCCCGTCATAAGTTTTAATTTGCAACCCCTGACATGTAAATTTTTTTAACAAGGATACCAAAATTCTGTCTTCTTGAAAAAAAAAATTCTTTTTTTAATTAATTATTACCGTTTTCTTTATGTCTTTCTTAAAATGTAGTTCAGTTCTAAAAAAAAAAATAGGGTAATGTTACCTGGATTTATGAATTTATTCAAAAGAAGAATGGATAAAACTGCTATTCGATTAAATAAACAATTTCTGAAAATATTGGTGCTAGTGTTTCTGCATTTAAGATTTAATTCTATTTGACTTTAATGACTCTACATCACAGACTTTATCACGCATTTATCCTTATTAATTAAATTGTGACAATTTTTTTTAAAATCATTTTTTTTTTGTTCTAATCTAAAACAACTACTAAGAGGCAGAAATATACAATGAATTCCATTTTTAAGTCTGATTCTTACTATGTCAATATGACCATCATTCCTTAAAAATCAAGACAGTAAGGATAAGAAAACTTACTAAAAATTTTGTGTATTTTATTATTATTATTTATTTTACTTTATTATTTATATATTTTTTTTATTTATTTATTTTGGCATGCCATATTTCTTGCCTTCTTTTTTTGTGCTTGTATTTTGAAATCTTCCCACTTGTAATACTGAAGTGTTTTGAAAAGTATTATTATTTATAAAGCAGTATCAAACAATATAACAGCAGTTTTTATTGTCTCAGTTCGAAATAGATTTTGACTCTAAAATTATTCTATTATTAAGTTTTTGCACTGGGCGATGGTTGAAAGATAAATTATGAGAAGTCTGGCCAATGAGGTGCAATTGTCGAAATTTTTCCATCTGAAAAAAATCAATAAAATTAATTTGGCTTGTTATAATTTCAGAATTATAATTTTTAATTAATAATTTTTAATTAATAATTTTTAATTAATAATTTTTATTAATAATTTTTAATTATTAATTTTTAATTATTAATTTTTAGTTATTAATTTTTAATTATTAATTTTTAATTAATAATTTTTATTAGTAATTTTTAGTTAACATATTGAAACATGCATTTTAAAATTAAAATCACAGAAGGGAAATGCTGGTTGAGCTGCAAAGAATGACCTTATTTCAAAGTTTCATCAGTAGAATTGATTGCACTAGGCTTTTTTTTTATCGTGACTCTGTACTGCTAATACGGTGAATTGTAACTTATATAGCTAATTCAATCTATTGGCGACTTCTGAAACTAATATAAATTGGCATCTATTGAAGCTTTGTAATTTAAAATGTTACAAATTTTGAAACTAATTAAATATTATTGGCAACTTTTGTTACTAAATTAATCATCAACGGGCATTTTTTGTAACTTACCTATCATGTTGACACCTTTTATAACTTATTTTATGTGTTGGTAGTTTTTTAAACTAACATATGTTGGCAACTATTAAAACTAATTTTATCAGCTGGCAACTTTTTAAACTTGAAAAATTGCCTCAGAAATTCTTACATATTTAATTATCAGAATACTGTTAGTCACTGCAATTTTTTTCGCTAGTTGTTTCAGAATTATTTACTTTTGAGAGTATTGTACTGTTACTTATTTATTCTATTTATCTATTTATTTTTTAAAATCAGTTGGTCACCATATTCCAATCATAAAATATTATGAATCATAATAATTTTCATAAGTTATTACTTCAGTGTTTCTAGATAAAAGGTTTAAAGCATAACAATGAATGCTTGAAATAGATATAAACTGTAATATAAATAGAGAAAATTATTCCAAGCTTGCTAGCCGTGAATTCTTTCCCTCCTCCAAAAGTGTTAATGAGGGGTTGATTTCATACGAAAAACCTTCCACTAAAGAAAGTTTGCTTTTGTAGGCCAATTATAAAACAGTAATTATCCTCCTTAAGTAGGCTTTTATTGCGGTGCATAATTACCATTTACATAGTGTTTATAACTGACTAAATTCTCCATCGTGCAGTAAAATACTATATTTAATTCTAAAAAATTGGGGTGGTGAATCACTTCATTTGACGACTCTGTAACTGATCATGGATTTATTTTGAATAAAAAAAGCAGGCAAAAATGTGTCTTTTCAGAACAAAGTAGTATACTGATAATTGCAAATGATAATACAGTTTAGATATTTTCTAATTAAATCTATTAAATTTACAACAAACCACACAACATTCCATGGAATATACAAGAAATAAGAAAAACATAAAAATTTTGTATTAGGTCCGATGAATATTATGATATTGGGGTACTTATCCATTGCGCTGGACAGTAAAAAGCCTATATTTGGCACCTATTTTAGTACGATAGGTTCTCATTACCACAGCAATACCAAAAGCATTGATACTGCCCCTAAAGGAGCTATAAGTGCCAAATAAGCTATAGTTGCCAAATGGCGTCAATAACAGTTTGGCGATTTTTTACGCTCTTCAAAATGAGTACCTATATATTAGTTCTCCAAAAATTAATAAAAAATATTTGCGCGGCTTCTATTTCTTTTCTCCCAAATTTACGAATAAATTGAAATAAACAAAAATTAATTTTGTGTTAAAAACCTAAATTAATGGAGAAAAGGTACTTATTCGTATATGAGAACGATAAAAAAAATTTCCAACACCACTTACGTTTAATTAATTTTGATAATAGGTACTACTTTTATTATATTAATTGGTGTTTTTTAACTATGTACTAAATATACTAATATTGGTGCCAAGATACTTATTATAGGCTCTGTAGGTTTCTTATTGTCCAACGAAATGATAAGTACCAGAAGAGATTGTTGATTGTTGACTAGTAATAATAGCATTATGTCAAATGAAATGAATTTTTTTCTTCTTTTTTTGATGGGCTGAACTTAGAAAAGCATGTTTTGCTTAATAAAATAACTTAAAGACAACGAAAAAGGCAATAAGTAATATTAATTGGTGTATAATTTCGTAATGTTTGATTGTTGATTATTTACTTTTCTTAAAAATCCGCAAGAAAAACGGCTATTCAGCTGGTTATTAATATTAAGTTCATTTAATCGTTTAAAACTTTCAATTTTTGAAAAAGTGGCTGCATGTCTTAAAAAGTTGTCTCTGTTAAAAAATGCTACTACTGGAAACTGGCAAGTAGCAAAATTTCTTGATTTTGCCCTATACATTTCAGCCTAATTATTATCAGTTCCTCATCATGATTAAATTTCAACTGACTCTCTTTGGAAATTTTGCTTTCATGAAAACTTAATTTTTCTTATTCTAAAACTTCTTACATTATCCTGAATGACCATTTCCTTTATTGAACAGAAAGAGAGCATCACGTTAAAGTCAATCATTTTAATATTGTTCGTCTCTTATATATAAAGGCTAAACGGAAACAATTGTTGCCAGTCTATCTGCCTGATTCTGGTGTTTTCATTATTAAAATGCGAAAGTTTCAATAAGATTTTAACAGGCGGAAAATCAAATGCAAATAATAAGAACTCAACAATACTTAAAGAATCTGTCCACCACTTCTCTGACATAATATTTTAAATTAAATGTTGTGATTTCGATCAAAAACTGGAAAAACTTAGTTCATTCAAAATGCCGTAGGATTAGAAAGCAATATCAGATAGCACACCAGTTCATTTGGTACGGTAGTATTAGGTACAACTTAAACATCTTTCCAATTTAGAAGAATGGAACATAAAAGCCATGTACAGAAACTTTCGGAGAACCATACCATATAGAATTTCACACATGAAAACTTATTTAACATGACTCGTAGTATACGTATACACATTTTGCTCGTTATTTCACCCTCTTCTTTTCACTCAGAAGACTAGAAAACTTCCTAACATTGGCACTTAAATAAATTTGTCGGGAACTCTTTTCAAGGAAATTTACATTACAGGAAGTTGAAAACTTCGTAAGGTCAGCTGAAAAGTGACAGAAATCTGAACTACATTGTTCATCTACTTTCTAAATGCCTCAATATGTATATTATACACTATCTACCTATAAGTATTTGGACTCGTGTGATTGAAAAGAAAAACAAACTTTATTCATAGTCAATAGTTGGTGGAGCCTCCACGAGAGGCAATTACAGCGTGAACCCTCCGGGGCAAACTTTCCACAAGTCCTTGTGTGACGGCTAGTGGTATTTTCTTTCACTCGGCCTGGAGAAGACATGTAAGTTCCTTCACCGATTTTGGACGGGTAGTACGCCCCTTAAGTCGGCGATCCAACTCTTCCCAGAGGTTCTCGATAGGGTTCAGATCTGGGCAGGCCAGTTCATTCGATTAACCCCATTGGCACCATACCTAGTCTTGGTGAAGCTCGGAACATGACAGCTGGCATTGGCGTCCTGGAAATAACCAGGGTCCACCTCCAACTGCCACAACGTAGGAAGCGCATTGTCATCCAAAATAGTGCAGTAGGCATCTTGCATGGGACTAATGCCGATGTTATTCCCTACACGATCTATACCGGCGTAGGGCGTGACGTATTTCAAAACCGCAGATATAGTCATTTGCATAGGTGTCCAAATACTTATTGGTAGACAGTGTATTTAAAGCTGATGATTGATGTATGAAGGGGAAAAAAACATCAAAATGTGAAGCAGCAAGAATTATACCTGTTCTTTAGATAATGATAAAGTCTCCGAAAAAACAGTCCATACGACTCCTTCTGTACAAGGTGGTGTTGTCAAAGAACCCTCGTACCGAAAGTATTTCTTGGTATTCCTTGGTAGGAGGTCACGTAAGCGGAGTTTGCTTAAAATTGGCTCTTCGTCCTCAACATTACGAATCTTCGTCAAAGTTCTGAATATAGGATCCAAAATAACGTTTTTTTCAGCTGAAATCTGAATACATTTAAAATTTGAAACTGTGCATATAGGACATACACCGAAGAGCGATTACATTATGACTACCCTGCTAATAACATGTAGGACCACCTTTAGACCTCAAAACTGCTATCCTCCGCCGTGGCATTGATTCCACAAGGTGCTGATAGGTAATCTGAGGTATCTGGTACCAAGCGCTCACCAACTGGTCCTGCAATTCCCTCACATTGCGAGCGTGGAAGCACGAATTTGGTTTTCCAAGTAGGACCACAAATGCTCTATTGGTTAAGGTTAGGTGAATTTGGGGGCCAAGACATGACTTGAAAGTCACTGGAATGTTCCTCGACGATTCGACCCTTATGACATGGTGTATTATCCTGTTGGTAAAAAAACACCATCCCCCGCAGGAAAAACTGTTGCCATGAATGGGTGAACCTGGTCTGCAACTATGTTGCAGTAGCTTACAGACGTCAGGGATTGTTCTATGAGGATTATGGGTCCTAATGTGCCCCATGAAAACATTTTTTATGGGCCAGAAACGATGAAAACCTGGGCGATCCCATTGTCATAGATGGAGGGTGGTCATAATGTAATGGCTCTTCGGTGTATATACATACTATATGCGAATAAAAATTAACAATTCTTTGCATCATGGATAGCCAACCAACCCGAGGTATGCTCGCCTTTTAATATTTCAACACAAACTGCGGTAGTAAAACATAATAACAAAAAAAACTGCTTTCAAGAACTTTATCAAAAATCGTAAATACAACTCAAATTGAACAGAAATTTTTATACTCAAAATCTACACGATTTGACTTTTTGATGTTTAGTAATTTTAGATAAGCACATAAATGTGTACGAATGTCTTCTGTTATAAATCAAAATATAGCACAAGAATTACTGATACCCACTTAAACACATAATTTTACAAATATCCCGGGGAACTAACCCTAATATTGACTTGGAAGAAAAATCAACTAATTCTAAAGTCATCAATTCAATTCATCTCTGATTGTTTAGTTATTGTTAAGAAGTAAATGTTTTGTGTTATTCGTTTTTACTTAATACATGCCCAAACTGACTGCTCCTTTAAAAATGCTAATTAACAATTCAATTAAACCTAAGTTTGTACATTTAAGTTATTTTATTGTTTTTAAATTCACAATATTCAAACTTAAGGAAACAACTATATTTGTGAAAAATATCACATAATCAAGCCTGCAAATAATACTTTTTTTTATTATATTCTTTATATTTAAAAATATGAGGGCATTGTTACTTTTTCTTCTGGAAGAGGCCCTCTTATCAAAAAGGTTGACCGCTGTTGCATGACATCCGGACTTGATGTATTATTTTAACATCGGGGCTGTTAAAGTGATCGTGTGATTCAGATTGCAAGATAGTCCCTAAATTCGAGCGATGCACCCTTTAAACACAAGTTTCTTCCCTCTGAAAGTGGGTTTATTTCTTTAACCGGTGGTCGAAATTAGGGCAAATCATTGTTCCAGAAACAGAGCAGAGTTTTTTGTTATCAGATTCTGGAAATCAAAAATAAAACATTTCTTTTCTCTAAATTCTTAAACGAAAAAAATAAAAAGAAGCCTTCCAGGACTTCGACATATCAGGAAAAGAAGAAAAAATGGTAGTAAAAACATTTTATTTACACCTTTCTTTCGGAGAAAGTAAATTTTCCGTAACTACCACTACTTATTAAAAAGTAAAACATTTAACTTTACTGTTTATTTATGTATACATTATAATTCTTGCAAGAAGTAGTTCTTGTTAGTTTACATCGCTCGAAAGAAAGGTACAAAAGTAATATTTCTATTACAAATTTTTTATCTCTTTCGAATTGGTGGCAACTCCTACATTTCCTATATGTTCTGCTACCTAATAGAAATGGAATGCTCAATTCCCTTAGGGAGGAAGCTTGAAAACTGTAAGGTGCACCGTTCAATTTAGTCACTGGTAGTCATTACAGTGTTAGGTAAGAAGATTGATTAACAGTTTTTTTAAAATGAAAAACTCGTAATTCAAAAATCTGCAATCTTAATGGGTCTTTAAATTTTTAGTTCTTTGTATGATGGAATTTTGTTAATGTGTTTGTATTTCATGATCGATGAAATTTGACGTCACATAACAAGGTAACAATGGTGTTTCGGCAATTTATCACGTGCAATTGTTAAGGGGACAATTTATCGCGCATGAATCGTCACGGTGACAGTTTATCGTGGCCGCAATTTGTCGCTGGAACAATTTAAGGAGGGCACAAAATGAAACTAGCAAAATAAAAAGTGAACAATGCGCGAATTGAAAAATGGACCACCCTTAATAACTTCTGATTGGATCATCCCATTCTTCTGATTTTCAAATATGGTCCTCATAGTTTGGTCATCCAAAGTTTGGATCACTTATTGTTAATTTTAGATTTTGCGTATTTCGCCATATCTCGAGAACTTTTTAAGCGATTAGAAAAAATTTTGCACCCAATAAAATTCGCTCATCCAGGGAAACTTTCATGCAAAATATAACTTTTATTAAATGTTTATTATTTTTTATAATTTTATTTAAAAATAGTCGAAAAAATTTTGAATTGCAAGGTATGTAATTTCTTACTTCAATTTTCTCTTATTCAATTTTAAATGGCAAAATACAAAATTTGAGCAAAATCAGTCGATAATAGTTCCTCAAAAATCGAATTTTAAGATACTCGTGCTTCCAAATATTTTAATACGGTTAAAAAATTCTCGAGATATAATGAAAGACGCAAAAAGTAAAATTAACATTAAGGGATCCAAACTTTAGACAGCTCTATTGACCTAACCATTCGGACTATATTTCCCAAATTGCGGCTATCCCCTATATATTATGGGGGTCAGAAATCCGAATGCGTTAAAAAAAAAGGTCATACTCCGTCGAAAAAGAAGTCAGTTATTCAGAGAAAGTATACATTCTTGTGTCTGATTTGGTAACTTAAAATTTCATCAGCACTAATTAATTAGCATACCCTTTTTATGGGTACAATTAATGGACTAGGATGTATTTCATGGAAATCGTAAGAAATTGTGCTCGCGATCAATTATGCCCTCGACAAATCGAGCTCGCGACGAATTGTGCCTACGGTGGATTGTCGTTAGGTCGAATTGTGTTAAACAACTAATTGTCTTTGCGACGAGTTGTATCCAAAACGAATTGTGCTCAGAATGAATTGTCAGCGCTACAAATTGCCTACGGCAAACTGTACCCGCCCGCAGAATCGATAACAATAACGAATAAAAATAAAATTTTAAAAAACGGTGTTCAAAAATTTCATGCAAATTTTATAAGTCACTCAGATTTAGTCCATGGCACGTCCGTTATATTTACTATCAATGACTTGATTTAGCATAGACGAATACAAAATTTTGTAAAATTCGCTGAAGGGAATTTTTCGAAAACTTCATAGAGGGAACTAGGAGCAAAACTCAGCAAAATGTCACCGCAAACTCACGATTTCGGTGACATTACTACTAACTCGAGAACTCAAATTGCAACTGAATGTCTTTGTCAGATGATAAAACGAATTTCAAACGTTTTTAAACTGCAACAAGTAAAGCTTATCGCCAATTAAAATTTTGATCACTTTTTGACACTTTTGAAAGAGGAAGAAAAATAATAAAATAAGGTTTTTGAAGTGCGCAAATTCTATTTTTATCACAACTAAAATATCAAACGAATCATTTTCGCAGTAATTTTCTATCAACACCTAAAATTTGCCCATGTGTTTTTTTTTTTTTCAGATTTGATAAATAAAGATTTTCGTGCCCGATTTGAAATTTTAATGATGGACGACATGTTTTAATAAAGAAATGTATTTATCAGGTTTGTAATTCTTAACGTTTTTTAGAATTATCTCATGGTTTTGTCAAAGAAAATCGTAAGGGCAATTTTAATTTCTTCAACAAATATGAGTTTTTTTTTTTTTTTTTTTTTTTTTTTTTTTTTTTTTTTTTTTTTTGCCGTAAAAACTATTCCACAGAGAAGGGAGTAAATGAAAATTTCCAACAATAGTAATATTTTTAAGAAATCTTGCGGACATGCCTAACAACACTTTAATTATTTACTTATTTCACACAATTCAAATCGGATACGAACTGCCTCCATCACTTAATAATAATTATTATTATTTCAATACTTCATAACTAAGCAGCTAAAGCAAAACGCTCACTACCTTGAAAAAGATAGCCAAAACTGCTAGTGTCTTTCCTCCATTCGTAGTATTTTTCAGACTTTCAAAAACCAAGTGAGTCTAGAAATAAAATACAAACAAAATGAACATGTATCTCTTAGGTGAAATTTTTATTTTGAACATTACTCAAAAGGCGTCTTAAAAATATTCATCACAGTTTAAAAAACATGTATCAAATAATGGATACAGCTCAAAATGCGTCTTTAAAATATTTATCACAGTTTGAAAAACATGTTTCAAATAATGGATATAACTCCAAATGAGTCTTTAAAATATTTTTCACAGTTTGAAAAACATGTTTCAAATAATCGATATAGCTCCAAATGCGTAAATAATTGCCACGGTTTAAAAAAACATGTTTCAAATGATGGATATAGCTCCAAATGCGTAAATATTTGTCACAGTTTAAAAAATATGTTTCAAGTAATGGATATAGCTCTAAATGCGTCTTTAAAATATTTGTCACACTTTGAAAAACATGTTTCAAATAATGGATATTGCTCCAAATGTGTAAATATTTGTCACACTTTGAAAAACATGTTTCAAATAATGGATATAGCTCCAAATGCGTCTTCAAAATATTTGTCACAGTTTAAAAAACATGTTTCAAATAATGGAAATAGCTTAAAATTCGTATTTAAAAACGAACTAGATTTTCGTATTTAATATAATGAAAATAGCACAATATACGTGTTTAAAAGAATTAACACAGTTCAAAATGCATGTTTAAGAGAATTGATAAAGCACAAATTCAATGCTAAGTAAATAAATTTTTTTAACCTCAAATCAAATCCATTTGGAATTTAACTTCCTTTTTGTCAACATTAATAATAATCATTATGGAACAGGCTGTCGAATTGAGTGGTTGAGGTTGTTGACCATATTACAATTGTAACTTTTATTTTAAAATCTAAAGATCACTACCAAGAAATTTAAACAACTGAAAAATCTGGAAGAAAAAAACCTTTATCTTCTCAATATTTTGGACTGCGTACCCTTTTNGGGAAATTTTGTTTCTTATTTGCTGCTAAAAAATGGCGTCTGATTCAGTCAATGATTTTGATGGAACTAAATGAAAACGTGATAAATTAATGTCTGATATTTACAGGCTCTCGCTAGACGGCGTACTCGAGAGTTGCGATCGCGAATCTTTTCAATATTTTGGACTGTATTTTCATACTCTTGCGTACCGAAAAATTGCCACCTAAATAAGATATCTTTAAACGCAAATATAAGTTATATCTTTAAAAGAGTAATTATTAATAGTAATAATTTGCATTTAAATACATATCACTTTGATAAATTAATGAGATAGAAAAATTGAACTTGTCTCAAAATAAAATTATGAACTTTTAAAGTTTGCTCAATTAAAAGTTATAATAAAAATACGTATGATGTCACTTATATATTAAGAATTTATTGAGATTTTTCATGAATTCTTTAAAAAATAAAGTTAGAACTGTGGTTTGAAAAACATAGTCAAATGCAATACCCATTTTCTAAATAGCTTTATACTCATCTTCATTTTCTTTAACACGCATTTCACGCTATGGCTTCCAAAACAAAAAGTCCACTAATAATTTACTCAATATTTCTTAAAAAGTACTGAAGGTTAAAAAATTCTGATAGAAAATTATCAGACCAACTTTTCCACGCACATAAAATAAATGAAAAGGCTAAGTTGTGTAATGTGCGCGTATCACAGAAATACGTAATGTGTAGAGCCCGGAAGTTCAGGCAAAATGCCATAAATGCCATTTTCTACCTTTTTTAAACGTTTTCTTCTGAAAATGCCTTTTTCTTTCCTTTTGTTCATAAATGCCTATTTCTGTCAAATTTAAAATTCTTCTGCAAAGCTTTTTGTGCTTTTGACCGAATATAAACGCAAAATGAAGAAATTTTGAAGTACAGAAATGGTTGACTGTCATCCGACGTATTGTAATGCATTTATAGAGATTAGGACTTATTCCTTTAGTCTTATTAATATTTCCTCTCCGTCTCTTCGTGGCGTCACCTTTGTCGTGGCGTCAGAAAACGTGGCGTCACATTCGCCCGATGCGCTTTGCAAGGAGAGAGAGAAAGGGAGTGAAAAGATTGGAGTTATTTTTACTTACAACCAATAGAATTTATTCTTACTTACGGCCCATATAGCCTACACCATCGAATAACTCGTATGCTCTNGCATCTAGTTGTGATGTGCAACAACAACCAATCATCAGAATAAATCTGCATACAATATTATTGTAAGTACGAGTTTTAAATTTTTATTTCGCATCTACGCAGTTGAGGTTTTTTTTTGTGCAATTATGTCCACTTCTTTTGTACTATTGCTACGACAGTCGAGTGAAATGAATATGTAGGTATACCGGATACTTCTAGCAACTTTTTTTATACCTTGGATACCTATATGGGCTTTTAGGCATTACCAACTACCATTTTGCTCCAATTTTAAATGCCTTTTTTAAGGGCCTATTTCAAGCTTTTTAAATGCCTTTTTGCCTGCCTATTTTTGCATTTTTTATTGCCTGAAATTCCGGGCTTTAGTAATGTGTTTCATTTGTGTGTAAAGAAACGAACATCAGCTATAATTAGTGAAAAACTTGAAGCAACACAAGAAAATCATTTAACAACATGTGAAAAACATGAAGCAACACATAAAAATTATACAGCAATGCAAAAGATTTAGAAGATTTCCGTTGTTTTTCAAGGAAATACAAATTTAGAGTGAAATATTTAAATATCAGAATTTCACCGAATACAAGACGATTTTAAATTGATCATAGTTTTAATCATTATGTCGAGTAGAGAACACATACAACAAAAATATTTTCAAAATTCTGAATCTTTTTTTCGAGCATTTTTTTAAAATTAACACAGTGTGTGAAAAGTGTTTTTTTTACCAAGATCAATAAAATAATCATACTAATAATAAATCATAGTTTTAGTGCCTCAAACATATAGACAAAAATTTTAATTTTAAAATACATATCTATACCTATGTTGCAGCCTGAGCCCTCTAGCGTCAGAACACGAAGAGGACGAGAGAGTTTTTTAAAAAGAAAAAACAGTAGTTGTAGAAACGAGGAACGCGCCTTACCGAACTATCTTACTAAAAACTTATCATCATCTCTTAGCTATCATACTTCATTAATGTAAATTCATCATCGTCATATTTGTTAATCAATCCAATAAATGTTTTTATAGTTATTCAAATTGATGATCATTATGGATATTTATTGTTAAATATATTGCATGCCAACCCCGAAAACAAAAGAGTATGGTTGGTCTTACTGCTTCGTATCATCACAGCAAGGTAAGTGATACCTTCCCTTGATTCATTTTTGGAAGTAGTGACGCCTCCAGTATAGAACAACCTATCTCCATTTAAATATTTGTCTAAATAAAAAAACATCAATATTCATAAAAATATTATTTTCAAACAAGCTTTATTTCATATAACGGCAGAGCCTTCGGAAAACAACCTAAAAATATGCTTATAAAAATAACTTTCTAAAATTCGAACTTATGCGAATTCATCTGCGGGTTAGTTTCATCTAAAAAGTCTTCCACGGAGACAAATTTCTCCCAATACTTGATGAAATTTCTACCAATACTCGTGCCGCGGATACTCCACCCTTTCAATTGGATAAGTGCTCTTAGGCAACTGAGGTATTGTCGTTAATAGTGGTCATAGCAAGAAGAAATAGAGGTTTCTATCTTTGAATTGATGGTTGGAGGCATATGACTCCTGAACAGGAGGTCATTTCCTGCTCGTGAACTTTTGAAAGTATAACAAGAACATAATTATGCTATTCAAAAGCATCTAAATTGACATTTACCAATTGCTATCCAAACAAGTGGAAAAATAAATGGATACTTTTCGGTTTGCGGGCTTCAGGGAATTACAACTTTTCTTTACTTTGTTTTAATTTTTCTGTACGTCCATTTTGTTCAGTTTTTTTAAAAAAAAAAATTTTTTTTTAAATATTAAAAAAAATAATAAATTATAATAATAAACAGAATATGCTGTGTTGTGTGTTAATTGTAAACGTGAAGTAAAATTGCCACGCATGTTATTGGTTTTTGTTCACAAATTTATTATTAGGTCATACAGAAAACTTCATTTTACCTCCAAAGGAAATTGAATTCCATTAATTCGATGCTCAGAACCATCACTATCCGAGATACCCCAATGGAAATGAAGTTGCCGGAACAGAAAGGTATCATCTAGTCCACCCTCTTTTATGGCAAAGCTCCTTTTGTTACTGCACTTAATTTCAACTGCAAAACATCGTAACATTTTAGTATTAGCATATTACACTAGTGCAACTTCTACAAGTTTTTTTTAAATGAGATGTTCGGCACTCTGACTAGTTCCTAAAATTTTGTCATGTGTATGAATTTTACTTTTATAACTTCTAATTTGTGAACAGACAACAGACCAGAATAGTATTGTTTTTGCGTTTTGATAGTATGAGAGGGATTTGGTGTGAGAGTAAATTTTCATGTCTACAATTGTGATTGATTCCTCAATACATTTTAATAGCGATAAATGGTAATGTTTTCTTTTTTTTTTCCTTCAGATTATTTCTTAGTCTCCTAATAATGAACGAAGGAAACCAAGTTGAACTCCTGGTTATAAAACAGAATAAAGATGTAAAATTATATGTGATAACATAAATTTATAGTGCAGTCTGTTACAGTGCTTCTTTCAAATACGTTTCTAGACATGGTTTGGTTATGCATACCTCGTGGCTACCATGATACATGTTTAGACGATCAAACCACCACTAGCATAATGGTCGATTTTTTTTTTTATTAGAAGGAACGTAAAATGTTTTTAATTTATACTTTTATATCATGAAACATACTTCAATATTTTAAAACTCAATTTTTTGTTTAACAATAACATTAACTGCCCTTAAAGTTTTCGCTTAGCAATAAGTGCTTTTACTGATTGTTTGGAGAACAGCACAGGAACGACCCTGGATTGAGAATCTGAGTGCATCGTTAACCAGTTTGCTTTCAAGAGTAAAAAAAAAGTTTCCTTGTACCACGTTAAATTATCTAATAACAAAATAGTCTTAAATATAATCAAATAATCTTAATTTTGATATTTTACCTGTTCGTCCATTGTTTAAAAGTCTAGGTTCACGTAATAGGAAGTCAAAATTTATGAAGCGAATGCATTTTATCCTCTCACTTTTGAAGGTGGTGTCCGTATCAATGTCTACTGGCGACTGATAATTACTGCTGCATGTTTTGTAAATTATATCCCATTCATTTTGACCTAAAAATGTTGGGGGGAAATGACTCACATAAATAGATATGTAAACCTTCATAATAATGCACATAATTGTTTAACATAACGTCAGAAAAAGACAATTAATTAATTTATAGTAGACAATTATAGTCTTTAATTTTCTACAATTCTTTAATTTCATTAAGATAAAATTTATTAAACTCACAAAACGGGTTATGGGTTATAGTCCCCTTGCCGTCCGGCTAACCGTTAGAGGTTTTCGTGGTTTCCCTCTCCATGCAACTCAAATGCGGGTTAGTTCCATCAAAAAGTCCTCCACGAAGGCAAATTTCTTCCAATTCTTAATCCAGGAGCTCCCTTGTCTTCCGGATTGGGTTCAAAATTACAAGGCTACGGAGATGAACATTGGTAGTCGAAAACCCTAATGTGGGTCAGCTGTTCAATGACGGTGATAATATATATATGTGGTACCAGTTCCTGTACACTGAAAGCCGTCAGCTAGAAGTCGCGTTAAGCTAGAAGTCCAGCCAGACGATGTAAGCTGGAAGCTGCTCCCTGTGCGCATGACAAGGAAGCAATGGGAATTTCCCTAAGATCAGAGCGCGGTTTGGAACTAACCGAAAAAGACGCATATGGACTCCGACGAGGAGTAGTAATTTTCTAAAAACATCGCAAAGACGAACTAATTTATTTTTGTGTTATTTGATTGTTAATCGTCCGTGTTTATGTAAATTTCTTTTCAATATATGTTTTTGTTTAAGAACAGTGCCTGATCTTATTTTCAAAGACGACCACTCTTACCGTTCCCACATATATACATCGTAATTTTTATACAAGAAGGCCCATTTCTACTTTCAAAATATTAGCCTTATTAATTCCTGTTTGAACTCATTCGATTAAATGGGAGAAAATACGTAGGAAACAATACCTTACTTGTCTGTATAGCAATGTAAGATGCATAAATAAATTCATGTGCAGAATTGTACTTTTTGTTCTTAAAACCCTTATAACTTCTAAACTATTGGTCAGATAATCTCGAAATGAGTGCCATATAATTTAGTGCGGAAAAATTACATTGGAAAATTTGCGTTACATGTTATAGTACCTGACCTGTATAGCAAATGCAAAGCGTATATATAAGTTTTATAGACAAAAACTTTTGCAACTTTTGAACAATGTAAGCTATGTCTCACTTGTTTAGGTAGCAACATCAGATGCTTTAATAGGCACTATTATAAATTTGTACTTTTTTATTTATAAAACCCTTATAACTTCTAAACTATTAGTCTCATCCAATTTAGAGTGAAAAAATGCATCAGAAAATATGCTCCAATTGTTTGTTTAGAAACAATTCAATACTGTCCCTTAAATCAGCAGTATTTCGCTCATAAAATAGGAAAGCGTACAGCGAAGAATAGGGGAGTTCTTAGTCATAATTTATAATGACAGTGTAAAGCTTTCTATGAAGAAGATTATGATTTTTCGGATGTTATATTTGACTATTTATACAAATTGCAAAAATTAACTTTCATGATTTAATTTTGAAAAAAAATATTTTATTTAATAACCATCCTAGAACAACCGACCCAATTTTTGAGTTCACATTAACTAAAAATTTAAAATTTGATATCTCAAGAGCTATTCTACCATTTCGTTTAAATTTGTATTTTCGTATATAAAATGACATTCTTTAAAATGATGTAAAAATTTGTGTACCTACTGCAATTCAATTTTTGTTTACTTTTATTAAATGAAATAATAAAAAATAATAAATACTTACTCTAAAGTTATTTTTAGCATGGAATTACCTTTGGATAAACGAACTTTATAAATGTGTGCAAATTTTTTTTGATTTGTTTAAAAAGTTCTCAAGACATACCGATATGCAAAAATTAAATGAACATTAGGGGCCGAAACTTTTGACTGCTCTTTTGATCCAACTATTGCGTTCATATTTCCTAGGTAACAACTATTTTCTCTTATTTTGAGGGTTATGAATCCAAATCTATCGGGAGGGGGGGAGTGTATTTATTCAAAAAGATAATGTTTTTGTGTTTGATTTCGTAATTTAAAATATCGTCGTCAACAAATTAATTAGCATATTTAATGTAAGACACTCGAACCAACACATAGAGACATTAAGGTTTAGTCTTAGTACGTGAAAATCCGATCATTTGATCAAAAGTTAATCAGAGCATTCCCCTCCTTATTTTTCTCCCTTTTTTTTTTTGCATATTGTACACGTAATGCATAAATAATTAAAAACCATAAAGCTGCCTTATACATTTTGTGACACATTATTATTTGGGAAAAAGGCTCTTAAGATGACGGAACAGAAAACTGAAATAATTTAGAAAAACACTGAATTTAAAACCTGGTGTTTCTTCTGTATACATCCATGTGTAAGACTGTAGATTTTCCTTTTCTCTTGTCATGCTCTTGTCATCATTGCTGATATAGTTCTGGACTTTCTCACATTTAAATACACAAGATCCTACAAATATTGGAATAAATTTAGTCAAGAAAGTTATTCAAGTTCTAAAAAGTCACGGTTTTCTATTCTTTTTCATTTTACTCTTTTCATTAACAACACATTCTAGATAATATTACACTATCTGTTAGCACACATTTAGACAGTACGGCGCGGAATGATATAAACAGCTGACACACCTTAAAATTTTTATACAAGTTTTGATTTAACCATATAAAGCGTGACTAAAGGAGAGAGAAAAATAGAATTTAGATAGATGAAATTGAATGAGATGAAATTAGATGAAATTTGGCATATAGATAGATTGAAGCACGAGGAAGGTCACTGTCAACATTAGAGCATTTTATGAAAAACCGTTCGAGAGGGATGAGCTAAAAACGAAATGAAATTTTCTGATTAGTTAAGTGTTAGCCATTGCTTTAATTTTAACTGTGGATTATTCTATTTTGTCAAATATTTTAAAAATAAGTTATATTTACTTGCTTATGGCTCTACTTGATCGAGAAAAAAAGTTTATTGCACATATTTTAATGCTTAAGTTGTTGTTGTTGTTTTTTCGCTATGTCAGTTAAATCCAAATGTCAGCAAAATTAAAGGAAGAATGGAACTAATTCTCTTAGGAGAAACGTAAAAAATCGACAGGCTATTATTGACGTCAATGATATTAAGTTAGATAATAACTACTAATTGAAGTAACAGAAATGAGCTACGTAATACTAAACTTCAAAATTAAAAGAGTACTTATTAGTTCACCCTTAAAAATCGTTATACTATTTTTGACGACAATGATGCTTAATTAATGTTCATATGTATTTTATTTTATACCCGTCGTTGAACAACCGACCCAATTTTGAGTTTACGACTACAAATGTTCAACTCCGCAGCCTTTGAGTTTTGAACTCTATCCAGAAGGCAAGGGATTTCCAGGATCAAGTATTGAAAGAAATTTTGCTTTTGTGGAGGACTTTTTAGATGGAACTAACCCACATTTGCGTTTAATAGAGAAGAAGGTCACGAAAACCTCCCACGGTCAGTCTGACTGCAAGGAGACTAACACATGATCCATGTACCGTCTGACAAGATACTTCTTCGTTTGGGAGATATTATTCGCCGTATTAGAATTGATACTAACGCTTAATTAATAATGGTAATATATATTAATTGAAATTTATAAAAAAAATAAGCTACGTCTAAAAAGTACAGTTAATGAAGAAAAGGTTAATGGGAAATTCGTTTAGGAGAACTGTAGAAAATCTCAGTACGTTGACGACGCTTAATTAATTTAGGTAATATGTACTACTGATATAATGGAAATTGGTGCAGTTTTTATAAGAAATCTGCAAAGGGTTTTCCATAGTTTCATGTAATATTTTTCAAGTAGTAGAAAAGATAGGGTATTAATATTTTCACCACTATGTATAAATAATTTAAACAGTTATTTAAAGGTCAGATAAAGAAATGTTCGCATAAGGATTCTATTCGTTTTTAAGATTTCAGTGTTAGTTTGCTGCTACTGATAATGTATCTTGTACAAAACTCAAATTGTGAAGAGTTAGGAAAAAGTACCAAACATACAAATGTAGGTATAATGTATTTATTTATATTGATCTATTTGGTGATTTTTAATTAATAGTTTTAAAACTATAAGCAGTTTTAATATCGATACTGTGGAAATGAGTGTCTTATTCACCCTTGAAAGGTATATATACCGGAGAAAATTACTTGATAGTGTTAAATTTTGATGAGTTGGCCGCGAGCAATATCAGGAAAGCATTAAGGGAGCTAAATACAGTTAATCTCTCTTCAGATGTGATTTACTTCAAAAAATATGTTTTGCTTATAATAAAAGCGTAAAGCCATCGGAAAGAGCAGCAAATAGCAATAAATAAATTAAATTAATTATTTTAGCCTTATTAATTGATCGTAGTAGAAAAAACCCTGTAAGTGATATTTTCAGAGATTTTCTAATCAGGGCTAAAAAAAAGAAAGAAAGAATGATCTCCAAACTATTTTATTACCAATTGGAAGGAGAGATTAATAATTCTTTGTCTTATTTTATTTACCACTGCCTAATTTGAAAATAAAAATAATTGAAGCTTTTTAAAAATTAATGTGAATTAGTTACGTTAAGATTAAAGTGAAAGTAAGAACAATTACGTTACATTTAACAGACCAAAATTGTGACAACCAACTCGATATTTTCACTAATTTATAAATACCCCTAAAAATCAAATTCAGATTTTTTCTACCCTACTTCTGTTTAAAAAAAAGTTTTAATGAGAACTTAAATTAAAACATTTTAATTAGTCTGTAAAAATATAATATGAGATAATCTCTAAAATTTAGAATTTAATAGCCATATTTATATATATTTATATCTGAAGTTGATAGATGGCGCCATCATTTCAATATTAAAATATTTCTTGTTGACAAGGGTCGTCTGCCACGTGCCAAGAACTTCCAAAGGCCAACGAACAGAATAATTCTAACTGGTTTCTTTCGACCTACGGTGAGCGTGTGTTCGTTTGTTGTCTGCTTGGTGCTTGGTGCTTGGTATGAGTGGGATCTCAGTATTTGGCCCGAAGGGCCACCAACTGATTCGTCATAATCTGTTCGGTCGTAAAACTAGAAGTCTTGTACNTTAAGCTCGCTACGCCACTGATATATATATATATATATATTAGTACCTCGTTTCATTTCGCATTTCAATCGAAGCAGTGGCATACAGATGCGCAAAATTTATAAATTTGCCCTATCTTAGACAGCACACAATTTTTTTAAAATTATAATATGTAACAAAACACAAAGAAGAGACATTCGGGTATTTCTAGTCATTCATTTTATTTTAATTTATGTATTTTAATTTTTTAAATATCAATTAATAAGGAATAAGTAATTGGAATGGAAAGACGGTATTTAGAAGAAAAGAAAAAAACAACAAAATTGGAACATTGTATATACTTATCACTTTGAAATGAAATTTATCTTACAGATATGAGAAAAGGCCTCACTATCTAACAATGAATATATCAAAGTTAATGGTTATTATTATTTTTGTTTTTGGAAAGGAAATTTTAAAAAAATATATTTTTTTGTAATTTTTATAGTAGGGGTACGCAACCTTTTTTTACTGAAGGATTGCGTGCTCAAGTGTTTAGAAATGTTGATGGCAATTATGGTAATTTTAAAGTAAACATCAGTATATGAGACACAATTCTTTTCATCAGTCAACTTGGTAACATATTTGCATAAAATGATTCTTTTTAACTTTAAAATTCATTTAAAACCGAAGAATATCAATAGTCACTTTTCAAAATAAAAATATTTCCTTTTTATTAAAATATTATAATTTATTGAAAAAATATATGAAGATAGGGATTTCTTTTATCCCATCATGCGGTACAAAAGTGCATTTTAAAATAAACTAACTAAAATGTTCTTGAATTAAAGTGAAAATGAAAAAAAAAGTAGATCTATATTTCATAGAGCAACAAAAATGTAAATTAAATTACAGAAATTGAATTGGTCTAAAATGATTTCAAATAAAACGCATTATAGCTCTGAATAAGATTCACCATTCAGTTGGGATTCAGATTAATATATTTTAACTTTAGGACACATTTAAATTTAGTAAATTATCAGATTAAAGAGATTTTATGAATGTTAAATCTTAAGACTTTTATTTTTTTAAGCCTTTTTTAAGATACAAAAAATTAAAAATAAACTCAAATTTAATAACAGTAAAAAGTTATAAAATACATGTTCAAATTTCGGGTTTTATATTAATATTGTATAAAAAACATCGATTTTTTAAAGGAAAAAAATTATACGGTAGCAAAAAAAAAATTTAAAAACAACATGGACTAACGATGAAATCGGAATAAATAACAAAGGTTACGTTAAAATTCCTGATTCGAAAATCATAAAATAAAATTGATGAATTTTTTTTTTTTTTCAATTGCACTATTTTATCAAAAATGTATTGAAAAAAGAAGAAATAATCATTTAGGAAAAAAAAAAAAAACTAGACCTTTCTTTGTCAAAATGCTGCCTATATACTAGTAGAAATTTGACTAATAATTGAAATCTGTCTTTTTTCTTTTTAGTATGCTACTATAATTGAAGAAAAAAAAAGTATTTTTATTGAAAAAAATTTATTCAGTTATGCTAGACGGACAGGCTTAGCTCTCAAGGCAGCTTTTAAGAAAAAATATTTTTCTTCAACTGAAGTAGTTATCAAAATTACGATTCACCTCAACTCAATTTTTTATAGATATTAATGTAATAATTGTGTTTACTGCTTATTCTTTGATTTCCAATTTGAATCACACTTAAACATTGCACACTTAAACATGCAGCGATATTAATCAACAAGCATATATCAAAATAATTAATAAAGTTAAAATAATTCAATTTTTTTTATTTATTATTATTTGCCCTTGGTAGTGGCTTTATGCTATTATATTAAGCAAAACATTTTTTTAGAAGTTTATCCCTTAAAAATAAATNTCTCATTGATATATATAGTTTTAAATGTGACCTTGGGCTAAATGCCAAATGCTTCAGCTTACCGTTAAACAAAAAATTTTCATTTTTAAAGAACTTTATACGACGTGTTTTAATTAAATCTAAAATTATATTTTTCGATTTTCTGCAAAATTATATTAGGAATTTCGGTTTTAAAGCCATGTTTTAAGAAGCATATTTGAAAAAACCATTTTAAAATAAATTGTATTAATATTATGGTTGGATATTAGATTACTCGTTCAACTACTATGACTAACTTCAATAATGAAAAATACTTACGAGACACTGCCGAAAATGTAATTATTTCAAATAATACAAAAACAAGCATCTTGGAGAACATTTTACTATTAATACGAGGTTAAAAGCTGGACATAGCATATTTTAGGTAGATGCGAAGATTGATGGAAAAATCTTTATTACTTTGTTCAATAACTTTAAATTTTCATCAATTTACTTAAAAATAAAATTAACTTAAA